CTTACAGAAGAGGGCCACGACCTCTTCTGTAAGTGACGGGACACGGGCGGAGTCTTCGGGGTCCTTCAGACTCCGGATACCTTAATCATGTACTTCAGCTTCTAGAGATGGTGTTGGTGTTTTTTTTAATAATTTTTTTTTATTTTCATGAAAATGTACAACACAGAACGATTTCAACTAACTCGGATCATGTTTTACATACGTTAGAATCAACGTGCATTAAAAAAAACCAACGAACATACAAAAAATAATGCTACCAACTCATAAGACATCGACATCTAAAGGGGACAAAATATAGGTCATTTGCCAATTACGCGTCAATAACCATATTAAATTCACACTATAACCAAGCTAAAGCAGCCAACTAGTCTTTAGGATATTGAAATATCGGTAGCCTTGGAGCTGCGGTGGCTCAAGTGGTTAAGATGCTGAACTGCAGGCTGTGGAAGGTCAGTAGTTCAGCAATTCGAGACCCGGGTGCTGCATGACGGAATGAGCTCCCATCTCTAGTTCCAGCTCCTGCCAACCTAGCAGTTCGAAAGCAAGAAATTGCAAGTAGATAAATAGGTACCACTTCGGTGGGAAGGTAACAGCATTCCGTGCACCTTGGTGTTTAGTCATGCCGGCCACATGACCACGGAAATGTCTTCGGACAGCGCTGGCTCTTCGGCTTGGAAACGGAGATGAGCACCGCAGCCCTAGAGTCGGATTCGACTGGCTTTCGAGCGAGGGAACCTTTACCTTTTTTTAGACTTGTTTAGTCTTTTGTTTTTCAAGTACCTCGATTTTCCAAGATTGGGTACCATCTCTCTAGATAATTGGAGGGGTCACTACAATATATGGAATCCGAAATCTTATCCTTTATGAGGTGGTCCCGTATCTTAAAATACCAGTTCTTAATTGAAGGAGCATCTAAAATCTTCCAGCATGGTCGTTTTGGCCGCAGTGAGAAGAATCATTACCAAGTCTTTTCTGATTTGTGGCATTCTAATTTCCTGCCAACTATTTAACAGTATAATTTCAGGTTTGAGAGGGATATTACGTCCCGGCAAATCTTCTATGTGGGATAAGACCTCCTGCCAAAACGTTTTAATCACTTCATTACTTTAGCTTCTAGAGACGGTGTTCTTAAAGGAACGGCTAACACGTGAGCTCCAGGATCCCCGGCCCGGGGGTCGGCACCAATGTTCCCTCTAAGCTGTGGAGTCTTGTGAGCAAAAATTCTACTTTGTGAGCTACTGGCATTAAAGCTGTGAGCGAGTGATTTGGCGGTTGCATAAATTAGTTTTCTCCGGAGCCATCCTTCCTCAGCTAAGACGAAAATGTGTGAGCTGGAGGCTAAAAAACTGTGAGCCGGCTCATGCTAACTCAGCTTAGAGGGAACACTGGTGGGTACGTCAGGGGCAGGCACAAATTGACTGCTGCAGGTTACATTCAGTCACACAAGCGAAGATCCTTTCTGGCTACGGTGGCAGCAGCTAAAGCGGTGCCTTTTAAAATCTGTACGACCAATCAGATCTACGGTGGCCAATCAGAAGCCTTGCTGGGCGAAAGCCCCCCACGCCCCCCCTCACTTCCCAAAAACATCTGGCGGGCTCCAGAAAAAATGTTGGCAGGCGCCGTGGTGCCCATGGGCGTCACGTTGGGGACAATATGTGTGTTCAGTGTAACTTCCGAACACAGCTTTAGGAGGAAGGGGTTTGAGAGTAGTGTTTCCCCTCCATTTTTTTTTTTTTAAATGTGCTGGTTTCACTGAAAGGGCAGTGGGACTGTCCTGTAGCTACGGGGGGTGGGGGGCAATTGGGGACTCCGCCCCTTCCCTCAAGGGCCCCTCGCTTCTTAAAGCCCCCCCACTTCTTCCCAAAAGCATTTAAAGAGATCTTTTGAGAAGAAGTAGGGTGTTGGTGTTGGTGTAGTGGTTAAGTGCACGGACTCTAATCTGGGAGAACCAGGTTTGATTCCCCACTCCTCCACTTGCAGCTGCTGGATGACCCTGGGCAAGCCGTAGTTCTGACAAGAGCTGTCCTCGAAAGGGCAGTCCTCGAAAGAGCTCTCTCAGCCCCTCCTACCTCACAGGATGTCTGTTGTGGGGAGGGGAAGGGAAAGGAGTTTGTAAGCTGCTCTGAGACTCCTTCAGGTAGTGAAGGGCGGGGTATAAATCCAATCTCTTCCTCTTCATAATAATAATAATAATAATAATAATAATAATAATAATAATAATAATTTATATTTCTGAATTGCCCCATCCCTGAGTACACAGGGTTCTGGGCGATTTACAATGAATATACAAAAGTACAATAGCTGTTGTAGATTTTCCGGGTTGTATGGCCGTGGCCCTGGCATTGTAGGACCTGGCATTTCGCCAGTGCCTGTGACCCATGTTCCCTCTAAGCTGAGTTCGTGTGAGCTAACTCACAGTTTTTTCACCTCCAGCGCACAGATTTTTGTCTCCGCTCAGGGAGGATGGCTCCGGAGCAAACTAATTGATGCAGCAGCCCAATCGCTCGCTGACCACTTTAAATGCCAGCAGCTCACAATGTAGAATTTTTTGCTCGCAGGACTCCACAGCTTACAGGGAGCATTGGCTGTGTGACTGGCATCCTCAGAGGGATAACACAGAAAGATAGACCTTGACACAGAGAGCGCTCCACCTTTCTGTGTTATACCTCTGAGGATGCCAGTCACAGCTGCTGGCGAAACGTCAGGTCCTACAGTGCCAAGACCACGGCCACACAGCCCGGGAAATCTACAACAGCTAACGGACTCCGGCCGCGGAAGCCCTCAACGACATACAAAAGTACAGTTTAAAATCAATCATCAGTTCATCCCAAAGTTTTGCAGTCTCCCGATGGCGTTTATAATTTGGTCTGAAAAAGTGCTCTGGAACATTCTCATCTCATTTCATACCAAGAGGGCTATCCGGGCAGTTTGCACAAACATACTGAGGCTAGACCCCGTGCGGCATAACTGTTGGCGCTTTGATCTCATCTCAGGAGAATCGTCTGCCCGTTTCTGGCTGGTCGGCGTCACACCGTTCCCGCCTTTGGCCGGCGCTCCGGCGTACCAACCAGATTGGCGCTTCCCACCCCTTTCAGCCATCAGTTCAAAGACCTGCTGTGACCTTCCCGGCCTGCTTCTCCAAAGGCCGCGCAGATGCCTGGGCGAGGAACTGCGCTGCAAGGGTTCCACCACAGAGAAGGCCCTGCTCCTTAAAGCCGGTCGCTGGCACCCTCGAGCACAGGGCCTGTGATGGCTGCTGGGGAGGCTTAGGGTAGTGCATAGGGGAAGGAAGGAGTGCCTCTGAGCACGTGTGGCGTTCCTTTTCCCCGCAGCAGGTTGACAGAAAGCAACTCTTCCCGAGCAGTTTCAGGGTTTAGCCATGCTGGTCTGGGGTAGAACAGCTAGATTCGAACCCAAAAGCACCTTGGAGACCCAACAAGGTTGTCGGGGCAAAAGCTTTCAAGAGTCAAAAGCTTTTGATTCTTGAGCGATGACAGCCTGAAAATCTTGCTAATCTCCAAGGTGCTTCTGGACTCACACGCGAAACCTTTATTGGCACGAAAGCGCAAAACGTCATGGAAATACGGGAAAGTACTAAGACGCACCAGTCACCGACACTTGGCTATTCAAGCCTCGTCTTCTGGACTCGGATCCAGGTGTCCTACCTTGACCAGGTGTGCTTGAGTTCTAGAGAAAGCTCTGGGTGGGAATGGCTTCTGTCAGTGGCTGCGAACAAAGTCCGCAGAACCGAAACCGACCCCCTCCCGCCGCCCGCAAACCCGCTCTCCCCTGGGCAATTATAACCGTCCGTGTGGGCTCTTCCCCTCTGTAAGGACCCTCCTTTATCTTTTCACGTGCATGCACGCACATCTCCCGCACTGCCCTAACGAACCCAGCGAGACTCCCCCCAGGTAGGTCATGTGACCCCCTCCCCCCCAGAGCGCGCAGCCTCTTCTTTTTATTTATTATTTTGTTTTCCGAAGAGCAAGAAATTTAAAAGTTGCATTTCCAGTTCTGTTCGCAGCTCATTTACCCCGTGACTCTCTTCCTCTTCCCCGTCCTTCTATAGACCCTCTCCACCTTTTCTGTTGATGTTTTGGCTTCCATCTCCTCCCCCTGGACTCTGTTCTCCTGGCAAGGTACTTGAACTCTTCACTTTTCCCCCCTCCCATGGCTTCCATGTGCTGTTTTCTCTCTCTCTTCTCTTTCCCCCATTTCCTAATCCGCAGGGCTCTATATATTACAGAGGGGCAGAACACAGGGTGTGAAAGACCAAATTTTGCTGTTGGGGCCACCCCCGCACCCCCCAAAAAATATTCTATAGTTGAAAGAATGTTAAGCTCGGAGCAACAGGCTCCTGTTTGATATTCCAGAGACGCGCGGAAAGGGCTCCGAAATCGGCAAAGAGCGGCAGCTAGGACCCCCCCCAACCCCTCCCACACCGCATGGCAAAGAGAACAACTGATCCTAGTATGAGACGCACCAGATCCGAACCAAGTCAGGGGACGATCAAGTCCCGGGGAAGAACGGGGGCATACAGCCGGAGATCTCGCATATTCGAATGGATCCGTGCGAGAGGAACAGGGCGTGGCAACCAGGGGTATCCCGCCATTCAAACAGATCTGCCAGGGACCAGTTCAGCCAGGAGCTAGAATTTTGTGCCCGGAGCCGTCAGGGCCCCGCCTTTTTGTCATTGCCCCAGCAGGGGCTGTTAACTTTTGCACCCACAGGCTGTCTCCACAGCCTTCGGGTTTGCCGCGCCTTGGGGGGGAATTACGGAGGGGGGACGGGGCCCGTGCAGCCTCCGGGCGATTCTCGGGCACGCCACCGATGAAGCCCGCCACCGGCTTGGTTTTTTCCAAAGACGCTCTCCGCCTGTCGCTGGGCTTGATGGGGTTGTGCCGGGCAGCTTTCCTTCCTGTCTCCCCCCCCCCCCCCAAATGTCTTGGCTTCAGGCAGGCCTAAGAGTTTTCGCTTGTCTCCCCTTTCCCCATCTTCAGGCCGAGACGGCCGCAAACCGGATCTGCAAAGTGCTGGCTGTCAACCAGGAAAACGAGCACCTGATGGAAGACTACGAAAAGCTGGCTTCGGACGTGAGTGTCTGCATGTGGCGGTGGGGGGAGTGTGAGGGAGGAGGGTCAGAGATGGGAAGGGGGGGCGATCTGCAGCACCAGGTGGACACGGTGAGGGGCTCGGCCAGGGAACGGAGGAAGGCGATAGTGCCGCGGCGCGCCCCGTCCTTGCAGACTAACTCTCACGCTGTCTGCCGTGACGAAGGTCAACGAGGAAAGGGTGACCCCCCTCTGCTTGCCTCCCCCTTAGCCGTGATCAGTGTTCCCTCTAAGCTGAGTTAGTGTGAGCCAACTCGCAGTTTTTTTAGCCTCCGGCTCACACATTTTTGTCTCAGCTCAGGAAGGAAGGGCTCCAGGGCAAACTGATTTATGCAGGAGCCAAATCGCCCGCTCACAACTTCCGTGCCAGTAGCTCACAAAGTAGAATTTTTGCTCACCGGACTCCACAGCTTAGAGGGAGCATTGGCCATGATACGCTGGCACATTCTGCAGCTCCTAGGACGGAGGTGGGTAAATCGTGGCCTGGGACCCCCCCATCCAGCCTGCAGGAGTTTTTCATTCGGCTGCTTCAGGAGTTGTTAGGCGCTTCGGCGCCTGCTCCCCGAGGGGAAGCTGTTGAAAACAGATTTATTTATGTATTTATTTATTTGTTCAATTTACAACCCGCCCTCCCCACCAGAGCAGGCTTGGGGTGGCTTACATAAAGGTAAAACACGTACATAGCAATGATAAAATCATAAAACCTTCTAAAACCATACAAAATGATCTATATACTAATAGCCAAGGCGCCCCCTGCGGGCGGATATCTAAATCCGCACATCAGGGGCGCCTAGGGGGGAAAGATTTTCCTGCACAGTTGGGGCAATCCCCAGATGTGCAGAGCAGAAAAATCTGAAATCTATAAAAAACTACAGGGGGATACTTAAATTCCCCCAAAAGTAAAAGAGCGTTCCCTGCGCATGCGCAGAGAATGCTCTGAGAACTGCCTCACCGCTGCCACTGGGGGCGGGGGAAAGCTTGGCCGGCCGGCAGCTGTGAGTCGCTCCCCCCTCGCCGCCGTGGGAGTGGGGGAGGTTCCAAAATTTTTGGAATTTTGGTCAGTAGAAATCAGTATTTTTGACCCTCTGACTAGTTTCCACCCCTGTAATGCACTTACGATCCACTTTAGCGATCACTTTCAAGTGGGCTTTGTCATTTCGCGAGGTAAAACCCGTTTGCAAAGTGCATTGGAAGTGTATTGGAAACACGTTACTCCATGTGTATAAGCACTTATTTATTTTTTTTGGTCTCTGCTCCAAAGCGCTGAAATTTGGGGAGGCCTAATTGCTGTGAAATACAAAAGTCCCGCGGCACCTTGAAGATGGTGTGCGCTCCCTTGGCCACAGTCCGCTTCGTCAGATAGATATGTGAAGGAAGATCGTTCTGGGAGGTTTTTTTCCCAGGGGACAAGCGAAAATTCTCAGTGTCGGGGAAAAGGGAGCAGTAGATACACACATGGGCACACGGAATTGCCGTACTCTGAATCAGACCTTTGGTCTATCATGGTGCAGGGCTCTTTTTGTAAATAAAGCCCAGCAGGAACTCATTAGTATAAAAGGCATAATAGGCCACACCCAACAGCAGAAACTCATTAGCATATTAGGCCACACCCCTGACAGCACAGCTCATTGGCATATTAGGTCACACCCCCATGTTACCAGAAGTGTGCTCATCCAGCCACACCCACCTTTTGCTTCTTATTCTGTTTACCTTGTTTGTTGTCAAAACCCAGGGCTTTTTTGTAGCAGGAACTCCTTTGCATGTTAGGCCACACACCCCTAATGTAGCCAATCCTGATGAGTTTCTGCTGTTGGGTGTGGCCTATTATGCAAATGAGTTCCTGCTAGGCGTGGCCAACTTGGAAGCCAGCCAGAACTCCGTTCCTGTGTGTTCCTGCCCAAAAATAGCCCTGGTGGTCAGTATTGCCTACTCAGACTGGCAGCAGCTCTCCGGGGTCCCAGGCAGTGGTCTTTCCCATCACCTCCTACTGAGGTGCTGAGGATTGAACCTGGGACCTCCTGCATGCCAAGCAGTTGCTCTGCCACTGAGCCATGGCTGCTCGCCTAGATATAGAAAGGTTGGGTGTGAACCCCATCATAAATCAACAGAATTAGCAGTTCCGCATCCACAATGGTGAGGGAGGACAGAGGCTTGAACAGATAAGCAAATGGTTTAATTCGTTGTCGAAGGCTTTCACGGCCGGAAGTTCATTAGCTGTTGTAGATTCCCCGGGTCGTATGGCTGTGGTCTTGGCATTGTAGGACCTCCGTCTTTCTGTGTTATACCTCTGAGGATGCCAGTCACGGCTACGGGCGAAACGTCAGGTCCTACAATGCCAAGACCGTGGCCAGACAACCCGGGAAATCTACAACAGCTAAATAGTTTAATTGACAATTAACTGATTGTCGGCACCAGGTTACAGTCTGACAAAACATCTTCAGAACGGCCAGTTAAAACAGGGTCCCGTAGAGCAGTTCGAGATTGCAGTGGCCGAGGGCCCCCTCCAAAGGCGTCCAGAGCACAGCCAGTATCTCTGTGGTGGAACCGGACTGCTTTGAGCCGGTCCCTTCCCCCATGTCGTCCTGTCCTGATCTCGCGCCCCGTTTCCCGCAGCTGCTGGAGTGGATTCAGCGCACCATCCCCTGGCTGGAGAACCGCGTCCCCCAGAAGACCATGCAGGAGATGCAGCAGAAGCTGGAGGATTTCCGCGACTACCGGCGAGTCCACAAGCCCCCCAAGGTGCAGGAGAAGTGTCAGCTAGAGATCAACTTCAACACGCTGCAGACCAAGCTGCGGCTGAGCAACCGGCCCGCCTTCATGCCCTCCGAGGGGAAAATGGTCTCGGTGAGTCGCCGACGCGGGGCGGAGCTGGGGCGGGTCCGAGTTTCCGAGCTTCCGGGAGGTCAAGACGAGAAACGTTTGGGGCAGGGGACCAATTCGGCAATTGAATCCAAGCGCGAAGTGGAAGCCGAGAGGCAGGTGGTGGAAGCCAGGCCCGTAGCTAGCGGGGGCGTCTGCTGAGAGCGGCACCCTCTTATCGAATTAGCAGCACCCCTAGCTATCAGACGGGGCTTCCCGCAGGAGCAAGCCGGCTCAAGGCTCAAATCTGAGCAGGGCGGCTAAAATGCGGGGGGGTCTTCCGGAGCCGGGCACTGGGGGCTCAGGCGCCGCGCCGGGCTTCTCGGTGGACGAGACGGCCTCGTGGCCGCGGGCAGCCCAGGAGGCGCGCAGCTTCCACGGAATGGATCCAGCGCCCGAAGAGCCATTCTCTGGATTAATTTAAATCTAATTAACGAAAAATTCTTGGCTACGGGGCTGGTGGGAGCGCAGAAGGGTTCAGATGCCGAGCCCGGTCCCAAACGCGCTTCCAAGAGGAGCGGGTGATGAGAACTGGTCCGCCTTACAGGGCCGCTGTGACCAAAAGCGCTGGAAGTGGGCCGTTACAAAAGTGACTTATCAAAAACCTGAATCTCGGGGGGGGGGGTGTCAATTTTTGACGAGGGTGGTTGGATTTCTGTTCTCTGTCAAGAAGGCCGCTGTCTTTGCTCTCCGGGACGGGCTGAGCTGCGTGGGCTGGTGGGGGGGGTGTTAGCTGCTGGCTTAGAGCCCCCTTCTCTGTATCTCTGCACAAAGCCTGGGGCAGTGGGTGAGCAGACGAGGCTGTAAGGGTCCGTGGTGTACTTGCAGAAGTCCTGCAGGAGACTTTCTTTCTCCCATGGGGAGGGGAAGCTTGTAAGAAAAAGCCATTAAGAATCCTCTGTGGTTTCTCTTCCCCCTGCATGCACGTCTAGTGGGGCGCCTCCCCTCCTTGAAACAATTCAGAAGGAAAGCCATTAAAACCTTTACTGGAATGTGCTTTCATTTCTTGGGGTTTTTTGGCTTTCTGTGCCTCTTTTGGTTTGTTTATGATTTCAAAGTGTTTAAAGAAACCTAGATTTTATTTTTCTTTCGTACGTGCAGTCTTCTGAATGCGTGCTTTGCACTTCTAAGTGTCTGAACGCAAGTCCCGGGGAATCAGTCCGTGCCCCTTCCACAGAGTCCCACAGTCTCCCCCGTTGCCTCCGGCAGCGAGTGTTCAGGGATATACTGCCTCTGCACATGGAGGTTCCATTAAGCTCTTGTGGCTGAAGCCCTTGGCCGGGTCTGCCGTCTGTGAATTCGTCTCCTTTCAAAGCTGTTCAAGGCCAGAGACCAGCAACCGTGTCAAGTGGCGGTGAGTTCCACGGGCTCGCCCAGGTGCTCGAAAGCCCCTCCGATTTTCACCTCCTCCCCTCTCCCCAGGACATCAACAACGGCTGGTCCCACTTGGAGCAGGCGGAGAAAGGCTACGAGGAATGGCTGCTGAATGAGATCCGGCGGCTGGAGAGGCTGGACCACCTGGCGGAGAAGTTCCGGCAGAAGGCCTCCATCCATGAGTCCTGGACCGAAGGTGAGCAAGCCCCCCCCCCCTTCCTTCCCGGGGAGTCCCGCAAGGACCCGGTCCCGGGGAAGCCACCGGTCCGTTGCTTGAGAAGGAACGCTTCTCAGCAGGTAGCAGGTTTCGCACAGGTAGCGGCTCAGTTTAAACAAAACATTGTACCGTGACCACAGAGCCCCTCCGGCAAAGGCTGCTTCGGGAGGCAGGTTCGAACCTGGCCTCCTTGCCTTGTCGAATTCCTGTGCTGAGCGCTTCTGTTTTCGTAAGGGAGGAGTCGACCCGGCCTTATTTTAGCTCCGTCCCGGGCAGGAAAAGGTTTGGTGTTGTTTTTTTTAAAAAAAATCTTTCTCCTCGCAGCTTCCTGTTGGGCACTGTCGGATAAGTGGTCTGAATTCCTTTGTCTGGAGGGGGGGGTGCAGCCCAACCCCACCCTCCGGGCCACTGTTCTTCTCCCCCCCCCCTTGCCCTCACCATGGCGTCATCCGTCAAAGGAGCAGGCAGTTGCCATGGGGAGGCGCAGCGAACTCATTTGGAGGTAGAAACACCCTCCTGAGGAATTCCATCTAGAAGGCAGGCAGGCTGCGCTTTCATGGCCTCTTCTGCTGACAGAACGCTGCACTTTCATGGCCTCTTCCGCTGACAGAACGTTAACCTCTGATAGCCCCAAACAGTCCTCGGCACTGCCGGCCCTCTTAGCATCGATCCCATTTCCTAAAGCAAAGTTCAGGTGCTTTGTGCGGCCAAGGCTTAGAACTTACACAGTCAGAATTGTAAGCGGCCTTCATAAAAGAAGAAAGAAATCAAGTTTCTAGCAGGGGCGTCAAACATACGGCCTGTGGGCCGGAACCAGCCCGTCTAGGGCTCTGTGACGTCCTGCTTATTGGGCCGACTGTTTTTCCTTTAAAACACACTCTGTGTACATGAACTTAGTAGATTTCTGCCGCCACCAGGAATCAAAAATTCCAAATCTCCCTATTTTGGTAGAGTGACCCAGTGTCTGGGCGCTTCAGAGGACTATCTGGCCCTCAGGAAGGACTGTTCTGATTGCTGTGGTCAGTTTAAACAAATAATGATTTATTTATAAAAGAACAAAATAAGTTTCTGGGTATTTTTGAACTGTTGTTGAAGAAAGAAAATAGAACTGACAAGGCTTGGCGTCACACACAGTCTCTCGTACACCAAAACTCAACTCTGACAGGTTTAGACACTCAGTCTAAACTCTCTTTCTCATATAGCCACACAGGCTGAACTCTCTTGCTCATATAGCCACACAGGCTGAACTCTCTTGCTTATATAGCCACACAGGCTAGAGTAAACTCCAACTGCTTCCTCTGTCACACAGACTCCCACAAAAAACTCTCCATACTGGTCTCTTCAAGAACACAGAATCACCTCAGAGACACCCCTCCTCCCACACTCTCAGTCATCAGCCAGTCACATCGCACTTGTCTCCCTCTATCACTCTCCTTACATTACTGCAGTCACACTAAACATTTAAAGAAACACACACACCAAAACAAGAAATAATTACAGGCTCCTATCCGGCCCATGAGCAACTGGTCGTTACCTTTATTGCCAGATGACAGAGGCTGTGCATTATGTCCCTGTCTGCTGTCCCAGTGCTAATGAGTAATTTGCGTGCTTTGAAAGGTGTGCACTAGATGTTCTTGGGCAGCTCTGAGAGTGATTGGGCCGGTATGCTGCTCGGCATGCAGAAGGTCCCAGGTTCAATTCCCGGCATCTCCAGTTAGAAAGGACCAGGCGGTAAGTGATGTGAAATACCTCCGCCTGAGACCTTGGAGAGCCACCGTCAGTCCGTGTAGACAATACCGACCTTGACGGACCGATGTTCTGAGTCAGTATAAGACAGCTTCAAGTGTACCAAGTGTACCCTGCTGGAAAAAGCGGAACTGCCGTGCTTATGCAACCTTATAGGATGTTTAAATCAAAAGAGTTTTCGACTAAACATCAGGAAGAACTCCCTGACAGTTACAGTGGTTCCTCAGTGGAACGGGCTTCCTCGAGAGGTGGTGGGCTCTCCTTGGAAGTTTCCAAGCAGAGGCTGGATGGCCCTCTGACAGCAATGCTGATTCTGTGAACTTAGGCAGATCACGAGAAGGGAGGGCAGGAAGGGTCGCCTCAGTGCTTAGCCCTTGTGGCCCAGGGTAATGCCGATCGGGATCCTGATTGGTTTTTGAGGGGGGTTTTGGCCTTCCTCTGGGCGTAGAGCAGGGTTTGCTGGGGGAGTGCAGGGGTAGGGGAGAGAAGGTACTTGTGAACACTGTTCCCTCTAAGCTGAGTGAGTGTGAGCTAGCTCAAAGTTTCTTAGCCTCCAGCTCACACATTTTAATGTATGCAACAGCCAAATTGCTCGCTCGCAACAGTTAACGCCGGCAGCTCACGAAGTCGATTTTTTGTTCACAAGACTCCACAGCTTAGAGGGAGCATCGCTTGTGAATTTCCTGCATTGTGCCGGGCGGTGGACTAGACGGCCCCCGGGGATCCCTGCCACCTCTCTGTTTCTACGAGCAGTGTGCTTTTTAAATGTAGACATCCCTTACAGCAGTGATGGCCAACCTTTTAGAGACCGAGTGCCCAAACTGCGACCCAAAACCCACTTATTTATCGCAAAGTGCCAACACGGCTATTTAACCTGAATACTGAGGTTTTACTTTAGAAACTTTATTTCTACATTAACTTAAGATGATCCAAACAAAGTAAGGAAAGCAATCCCAAATGCTTTCATTTACTTAAAATTATTTGGCAGAGAATTCAACACTTTAATGATGGTCTGGGCCTGGCTGGGGCGATGGCACGCGTGCCCACAGAGAGGGCTCTGAGTGCCACCTCTGGCACCCGTGCCATAGGATCGCCACCACTGCCTTATAGGATGCTTAAATCGGAAGGAAGAGTTTTTGGCTAAACGTTAGGAAAAGCTTCCTGACGGTCAGAGCGTTTGTTTCCTCAGGGGAACAGGCCTCCTCGGGAGGTGGTGGGCTCTCCTTCTCTGGAGGTTTTCAAACAGAGGCTAGGTGGCCACCTGACAGCAATGCAGATTCTGTGAACTTGGGCAGATCGTGAGAGGGAGGGCAGGAAGGGTCGCCTCAGTGCTTAGTTCTCGCGGCCCTTTCTTGCACGCCCAGGGAAATGCCGATCGCCACTTTGGAATCAGGAAGCCGTTTTCCTCCAGGCCAGATTGCCCCAGCGATCCTGGAGGTTCCCCACCCCTCCTCTGGGCATAAAGCAGGGGTCACCGGGGGAGTGTAGGGGGGGGAGGTACTTGTGAATTCCCTGCGTTGTGCAGGGGGTGGACTAGATGACCCTTGGGGGTCCCTCCCAGCTCTCTCTTTCTATGACCTAGCCTACCAGCAGTGTGCTCTTTAAATGTGTACTCCCAGACGTTCAGTGGCACTTACTCCCTCGTAAGTGTCTTTAGGGTTGAAGCTCAGGACTCGGCGATCAGACTGTGCTATCCAAACAGAAGCGATGGTTTCGGGCAGGCCCGTAGCCAGGATTTTGTGGCTCGTGGGGCAGGGTTTTGTTTTTTCTCTGGTGGTACTGCCGTTATTTGCCATAATGAAGGGGCGGTGGCTCCTGCAAGATTTAAAGGGCCCTCCAGCTGATCGGCGGGCCACGTGGTCTCCGCCGATCAGCCACAGGGCCCTTTAAATCTTGCAGGAGGGGAGGGAGAGAACGCTGCCCCCCCGCTTCTTCCCAAAAGCTTTTGGGAAGAAGGGGGGGCCCTTTAAGAAGCGGGGGGCTTTAAGGGAGAGCGCAGAGCCCCCAATAGCCCCACTGTAGCTACGGGCCAGGTTTCGGGGGGAGGTCCCTTGAGCCTGTCGGCTGCAACGCAAACAGTTACAGGCAGTGTTCCCTCTAAGAGAGCCAGTTCGGTGTAGTGGTGAAGTGTGCATGAACTCTAATCTGGGAGAACCGGGTTTGATCCCCCACTCCTCCACTTGCACCTGGCTGGATGACCTTGGGCAAGCCGTAGTTCTGATAAGAGCTGTTCTTGAAAAAAGAGCTGTTTCTGTCAGAGCTCTCCCAGCCCCGCCGACCTCACAGGCAATGCTCCCTCGAAGCTGTGGAGTCTTGTGAGAAAAAATCCTACTTTGTGAACTACCGGCATTAAAGTTGTGAGCGAGCGATTTGGCTGCTGCATAAGTCAGTTTGCTCTGGAGCCGTCCTTCCTGAGCTGAGACCAAAATGTGTGAGCCGGAGGCTAAAAAACTGTGAGCCAGCTCACACTCACTCAGCTTAGAGGGAACACTGCTCACAGGGTGTCTGTTGTGGGGAGGGGAAGGGAAAGGAGTTTGTCAGCCGCTCTGAGACACCTTTGGGCAGTGAAGGGCGGGGGATAAATCCAATCTCTTCTTCTTTCTTCTTCCAAGCTGGGTTAGTGTGAGCTAGCTTGCAGTTTTTTAGCCTCTGGCTCGCACGTTTTTTTTTTTGGTTTTTTTTTTGTCTTCGCTCCGGAAGGCTGTGGCTCCCAGAGCAAACTAATCTATGCAGTGGGCAGATCTCCTGCTCCACAACTTTAATGCCGGAAGCTCACCAGGTAGAATTTTTTGCTCACAGGACTCTGTAGCATAGGGGAATCCATTTGCATTTTGATTTCCTCCCCGGGAAGATGTCACTGCCTGAACATTAGTGTGTACGGAGGGGGGGATCAATGCCGCGCGGGGGTCTTCTCACTCTGAAGGGCCGAGGGCCGCGGTTGCATTCGGCACGGGAGCTTAACGTTGGCAAGAGGGGCTTCGTCCAAAGCGGGCCGCTCTGCCCGGACCACGCTCGTTCCGCCTGGCCGACAGCCAGGGATTGGATTTCCCCAACCGAGCGTGTCCCCAGGAACAGCTGATGGCAACAGAAGAGCGATTTTCCGAATTCCAGCCGTTCCTCCCCTCCCCCCCAGCTCCCAAACACAAATAGCTTTTGCATTACCGCACAAGCTCCAGCCGTGAGCCAAGGCGGCTAGCAACGGTGGTTCGCTCAGCCCCCAGACTTGGAGGGGTGGGTGGGATGCGGCGTCGGTGGACGTCCGTCTGCCCTGGAGAAACACACACACACCCCTCGGGATCCAGGCCTTGAGGAATAGCTTGACAGCAGCACACGATTCTCTTGTTTCCTGTGCTGGGGTGTGTGTGTGGGGGGGGGGAGCCAGCAGTCTCTTCCTGCGTCTGGCCTCTGTTCGGAAGGGAAGCGTTGGAAGCGGTTACAGGGGAAGGCGGGAGCACGGGGGCTGCCGGGCAGCTGTTAGGGGAAGGCCCCCGTCAGCTGAGGAGCGTGGGAAGCGAAAGGGCGAAACCAGTCAGCGGGAGAGGGAGAAGGGGGCTGACCCGGGCGGTCATCGTGCCAGTCCGAAATGTGCCCAGCCTGGCACTCCCGGGACCTTTAAAAAAAAAATGGTCTGCCTTCTGGAGAGGCTGGGCTTTGTCACCAGTGGTCACCGCTGGCTAAGAAGAGAAGAGCCCTGCTGGGTCAGACCAGGGAGGGTCCATCTAGTCCAGCATCCGGTCTCACACGGTGGCTAACCAGTTCTTCTGGAGGGCCCACAACAGGGCAGAGAGGTCGAGGCCTTCCCCTGAGAAGAACATCAGAAGAGCCGTGCTGGGTCAGACCAGGGAGGGTCCATCTAGTCCAGCATCCGGTCTCACACGGTGGCTAACCAGTTCTTCTGGAGGGCCCACAACAGGGCAGAGAGGTCGAGGCCTTCCCCTGAGAAGAACATCAGAAGAGCCGTGCTGGGTCAGACCAGGGAGGGTCCATCTAGTCCAGCATCCGGTCTCACACTGTGGCTAACCAGTTCCTCTGGAGGGCCAACAACAGGGCAGAGAGGCCAAGGCCTTCCCCTAAGAAGAACCACAGAAGAACCCTGCTGGATCAGACCAGTGAGGGTCCATCTAGTCCAGCATCCTGTCTCACACTGTGGCCAACCAGTTCCTCTGGAGGGCCCACAACTGGGCAGAGAGGCCGAGGCCTTCATAAGAACATCAGAAGAGCCCTGATGGATCAGACCAGTGGTCCATCTAGTCCAGCCTCCTGTCTCACGTGGTGGCCAGCCAGTTCCTCTGGACAGCAACAACAGGGCAGAGAGGCCGAGGCCTTCCCCTGATAAGAACATCAGAAGAGCCCTGCTGGATCAGACCAGTGAGGGTCCATCTAGTCCAGCATCCGGTCTCACACGGTGGCCGACCAGTTCCTCTAGAGATGGCCAGTTGCCTCCTGGCTCTGGGCTTCGGAGGTTGACTGCCTCTGAGCGTGGAGGTTTCCTTTAGTCACTGGGGCATAAGAACAGAGGGCTGGGGGGTGGGGAGCGTTGTTCCATGTGGCACTCTTTTGGACAGATGAGCGTGCTTCCCAGGAGTAATGTTCAAAGTACACTCGAGCTGGGGGGAGGCAGAGGGAAGTTACAAGCCACGGGTTGGTTCAGGCCAAGAGAGACCTCAAGAAAAACTGTGGATGGCTGTGAAAGGGGGGGGGGGGGGACAGAAAGATACCATCCCTGCCAGAGCATCCCATTGTGGCACCCTGTGGCTCGGAGAAACTAGAAGCATCCAGTGGCATAAGAGAGCAGTGTGATGCCGGGGGGTGGGGTTCCTCTGGCCACTTCTGGTGCTGGAAGTGTAAACTGCACTGGTCAGGCCGCACCTGGAGTATTGTGTGCAGGTCTGGAGGCCTCACTTCAAAAAGGATAAGAGAGCACTGAGTTCAGGAACACAGAATCGCGCTGTCTTTTCCCGGCCCGAGAGACGTCAAGTTGGCGGCTACTAAAGCCAGGACCTTCTCGGTGGTGGCTCCACGCTGGTGGAACGCGCTCCCGGATAACATCAGGGCCCTGCGGGACCTTTTACAGTTCCGCGGGGCCTGCAAGACGGAGCTCTTCCGCCAGGCTTTTGATTAGGGGAGGCCACGGGAGACAGCACCACAGACGTTGGTGCCACCGGAACACATCTTGGAACACTCAAAACAGCAGTTGGTTACTGCCTTTGTTCATATAGTGTATGCCGCCAGCTTTTATCGCCATCGTTACTAGTATTATCTAGTTAACATAAGAACATAAGAGATCCAATGCTGAATCAGGCCAAAGGCCCATCCAGCCCAACACTCTGTGTCACACAGTGGCCAGAAATACCAGGGGCCATCAGGAGGTCCACCAGTGCGGCCAGGACATTAGAAGCCCTCCCACTGTTGCCCCCCCCCCCAAGCACTAAGAAGACAGAGCATCCCTTGCCCCAGAGCCCCTATCTATACCTTGTGGCTAATAGCCAATGATGGACCTCTGCTCCATATGCTTATCCAATTCCCTTTTGAAGCCGTCCGTGCTTGTAGCCGCCACCACTTCCTGTGGCAGTGAATTCCATGTGTGAATCATTCTTTGTTTATGTCGTCGTAATTCATTAATGTATTTTAATGTATTTATTGTTCCAGTGTTTTAAAGGTTGTTAGCCGCCTTGAGCCAGTCCTGTGGCTAGGCGGGATACCAATTGAAATAATAAATGAATAAATAAAGGATGCGGACAGAGCGGAGCTGGTGCAGAGGAGAGCAGCGAGGATAATCGGGGGGCCCGGAGGACCAAGAAGTCCTACGAGGAGAGGCTGAGGGGGGACTTGGGAAAGTTCAGTCGGGAGAAGAGGAGGTTGAGAGGGGGACAGGTTGGCTCTCTTGAAGTATCTGAAGGGCTGTCCCTTGGAGGAGGGCGGGGAGCTGTTCCTGTCGGCCGCAGAGGAGAGGACTCGCAAGAATGGGTTTAAATGAAGGGCGGGAAGGCACCTGGCTGGATCTTAGGAGAAACTTTTGGACAGTCAGAGTTGTGCAACAGGGGAATCAGCTTCCTCGGGAGGTGGTGAGCCTCCCCCTCCCTGGCCGTCTTGAAGCAGCAGCTGGACCAACCCTTGCCAGGGATGCTCTAGGCCGATCCTGCAGTGAGCAGGGGGTTGGACTAGATGCCCTCTATGGCCCCTCTCGACTCTGTATGATTCTATGATTCTTTGACTTGCACGAGTATTTGAGGCACCCCGCATCGCTTTCATAATCCTTAAGTACAGCCCTGGGAGGTGAGCCTGATTTATTATCGCTGCAGGGCAAGTAGGAGGCACGACTCAGGGCCCTCGTAGCCTGGCTAACCGTTCTGCTCCTCGAAGCCCCATGACAAACTCCCTCCCTCCCCCTCCCACAGGAAAAGAGGCCATGCTGAGGCAGAAGGACTACGAGACGGCCACCCTGTCGGACATCAAGGCCCTGATCCGGAAGCACGAGGCGTTCGAGAGCGACCTGGCGGCCCACCAAGACCGCGTGGAGCAGATCGCGGCCATCGCGCAGGAACTCAAGTAGGGGTCGTCCGCCGGGCCGGCTCCGGGGAGCGGCTTCCTCCCAGGGCGGCGGGAGGAGCATTTGTATCGGCGTTTACGCTAGCGATCGCAAAGCATCCTGGGGATTGTAGTTTGTGGTTGCCGGGAGCTCTGCCGGCACCCCTCTGCCTCCACGCTTGCACACCAATCCCTGCAAAGACTGTGGAGTCTTAATCAAGCCGGGGAGGGGGGCGTGGCTCGGTGGTAAAGCGCCTGCTTGGGAGGCAGAAGGTCCCAGGTTCGATCCCCGGCATCTCCGGCTTTAAAAGGATCAGGCAGCAGGTGATGTGAAAAGCCTCCAGAGAGCCACTGCCAGTTGGAGCAGGCAATTCTGACTGTGACGGGCCCAGTAGTGTGACCCTGTATACGGCACGGGCAGCTACACGCGTTCGCTGCTAAGCCCTCACCGCAGACAGTCTCCAACCACCGACCTTCTAAGTCACTACCGAAAAGCAGGAAGAGGGAGTTATCCTCCTTCCCCTCTCCACAGAGGCGCAGTCCAGAAAAGGCCGGTCATCCAAGGGTGCCAGCCGGGCCCCAAAGCGAAATATCGCTCTAAGTGTCAGTTGCAAAACATTGGGGCTTCCCGGTGGTTGTAGCGGTCTCCGGTATTTTGTGGTGGGGTTGTTGTTGTTTTTTTTAAACCTTTCCTCCCAAAATATGACTTTGGGAAGTTGGAAGGGGGGGGCGGGGGGGGGGGGGGGACGCCAGCAGCGTTCCCTCTAAGCTGAGTCAGTGTGAGGCTAGCATGCCATTCTTTAGCCTCCGGCTCACACATTTTTTTGTCTCGGCTCAGGGAGGGTGGCTCCGGAGGAAAGTGATTCATGGCAGCAGCCAGATCGCTCGCTCGCGGCTTTAATGCCAGTAAGCTCACGAAGGAGAGTTTTGGCTCACAAGACTCCACGACTTAGAGGGAGCATTGGTCACAGGTGTCCCTGTGGTAGCTGGCATGTTTAGTGTAATGTTTAGGAGTACGGGCTCTAATCTGGGAGAACAGGGTTTGATTCCCCACTCCTCCACATGCAGCTGCTGGTGTGACCCTGCGTCAGTCACAAGTTCTCTCAGAGCTGTTCTCTCAGGAGCAGTCCTTGAAAGAGCCCTCTCAGCCCCACCTGCCTCACAGGGTGTCTGTTGTGGGGAGGGGGAAGGGAAAGGAGATTGTAAGCCGCTCTGAGACTCCTTCGGGTAGTGAACAGTGTTCCCTCAAAGCTGAGTTAGTGTGAGGCTAGCTCACAGTTTCTTAGCCTCCGGCTCACGCATTTTTGTCTGAGCTCAGGAAGGATGGCTCCGGAGCCAACTCATTTCTGCAGTCGCCCAATCGCTCGCTCACAGCTTTAATGCCGGCAGCTCACAAAGTAGAATTTTTGCTCACAAGACTCCACAGCTTAGAGGGAGCATTGGACACCAGCCATCCGTAACCCCGGAAAAGACTCCTCATGAGCAGGAAGGGCCCACCTGTGGATCCCGATCCCTTCTACTCTTTTCCCTTCCCGGCCTTCCACGGGGCCATCGAGGTGACAAGATCGTGTGTGGGAAACGGCATCAGCCGCTGCGTCCTTTTAAGGAGGGCCTGCTTGGCGGTCTTCCCTTCCCAGCACACGCGTATGTGTCAGTGTTCCCTCTAAGCTGAGTCAGCGTGAGCCAGCACACAGTTTTGTAGCCTCCGGCTCACACATTGTCGTCTTCGCTCAGGAAGGAGGGCTCCAGAGCAAACGGATTGATGCAGCAGCCAAATCGCTCGCTGCACAGCTTCAGTGTCGGTAGCTCACAAAGTAGAATCTTTGCTCGCAAGACTCCATAGCTTAGAGGGAGCATTGGTGTGTGTGTGAGAGAGAGAGATTTGGGCTTGCCTCGAAGCGGAGCTCTGACGCAACCCGAGGCCGTGGCCGTGCGGTATTTTTGGCAGGCCGAAAATAGCTTTTTCTGTCACAGTCTCTTTGCCTGCCGATCCTTGGCTCTCGCGCAGACCCCGCCGGGGATCACCTCTCTGTGGAGGACGTTTATCCGAGGAGCGCCCCCCTCCCTTCCCCAACACCCCCACCATAATGCACAGTGCCCCATTGTTCTCCCTCCCCCCCTCTCCCTCTTTTCTCCTGGCTTAGAATACGGTTATTGTAAGGGTTCACCGCGAACCACTTTTTCCTTTTCGGCCTCCCCTCGCTCGGGTAAACTCGCACACAATTAGTACACGCAGGGGCCGGAGCGGAGCCCCTCCATGAATGGAGACTGTTATTCCCTGGACTGGGAAAGGCAGAGGGTGCACTGGGAAAGGGGTGTGCACGTGGCCCGGAGGATGACTTCATAGAGACGGCGCGCAGCCCCCTTCCCCCCCCAGCCTGTAATAACTCCGGAATAGCAAAGTTTGATGGCCAGCAGGAGCCATGTTGGCCCCCCCCCCCAAATATTTTGCTGCTTCTTGGGTCTGGGCGGTTCACCCACAGTTTCTGGCTGGGGGGGGGGAGGAGACGGTTCCCCGCCCCCCCTTCCATCTGTAGCTTTGCTGTTCTCAAACACCCATCCACCCCCGAGCTGTTTTGCTTGGCCCCTATCCTGGCAACATGCAGTCTGGCTTTAAAACCTGGCATTTGGGGCTTGGCGAGAACTTGCTGCCAGTGGGGCCCCGAGGGCTGCCCCCTCCCCGAACCAGCCCCGCAAACCCCCCCCCTCCGGTGGGAAGGGACACCTCTGTCCTCTGGTTTCCTGGGCAGCCAGCCTTTGCGTTAAGAAGGCAGTAGCGCCCTCTGGTGCCGGAGAGCAAACGAGCTAGTTCTGATCTCAATTCAGCAATAATTGATGTTAAAAGTCCGGGCCACCGACGTCAGTTCAGTTCAGCAGTACCGATGTTAAAATCCAGGCCACTAAGGGGGAGATAGCCAGGAAGGAAGGGGGACATCCGCCGCCTCAACCAGAAGCCAAGGCGGAAGAGCTCCGTCTGCAGGCCCGTAGTAGATCCGGCAGGGGCCCTGATCTCGTATGGGAGGACCCTCGGTGAGCGGACATGGGCGGGGGGGGGATGGGATCTCTCTGGCGCCTGGTTTTAGCCCGAGCTCCGTCAAGGTGCTGAGAATGGAACCCGGCCCGTTCGTGTGGCCGACCTAGGAGGCCGGCTTTTCGGTTGCATTTCTGGCCCGCATAGATGCTTGGAGGATGGACTGGCTTTTGTGAGAGGAGAGGGAAGAAAACGTGCGTCACGCAAGCTCCTGCCCTGCCCTGTGCACACCCCCAAATCAAAACTGTGCATTGTCTCAGCCGCGAGCCCCCCAAGATTCAGATGATGGTGACATCTGTCCCAGCCACTACTGCAATTTCTCCATTCTGGGGGTGCTGCGTGAAGGAGACCCTGGAAAGGAGAGGCCGCTGAGACCTCTCTCCAGTCTGCTTCTGCGTAACTCCTCCCTTTCTCCTCTGCCCCACAGCGAGCTGGATTACTACGACTCCCCCAGCGTCAACGCCCGGTGCCAGAAGATCTGTGACCAGTGGGACTCGCTAGGATCCCTGACCCACACCAGGAGGGAGGCGTTGGAGGTGAGTCGGGGTTCGGCGCAGACCCCGTCTCTTGCTTCGGTGAGCGGGTGGGGAGCGAGGCCCGTGGGGAGGGGGCCCTGATCCATCCACCTTGTTGCGTCTCCCACGCAGAAAACAGAGAAGCAGCTGGAGACCATTGACCAGCTCCACCTGGAATACGCCAAGAGGGCAGCGCCCTTCAACAACTGGATGGAGAGCGCCATGGAGGACCTGCAGGACATGTTCATCGTCCACACCATCGAGGAGATTGAGGTAAGAGGGAAGGAAGAGGGGCCCCACGGCTTACGGAGGGAAGAGGGGACCCGCGGCTCAGGGAGGGAAGAGGGGACCCACGGCTCAGGGCCAGATCACACCCGTTGCATGCGGAGAATCCCAAGTTCAGTCCACCGTATTGCCAGTTGAAGGAGCGTTGGGAACGGCATTTCTCTACCCTAAACCCTCCTGGTCAGAGGAGACCATGCTGAGAAAGAGGGATGCAAGGGTCTGACTCAGCACTTTGCAGCTTCATGAGCATTTAGGGCTCTTGCTGGCTGGTAACTAGCCGCTTGGCATGCAGAAGGTCCCAGGGTTGGTCATCAACATCTCATAGGACCATCAGAAGAAGTTCTGCTGGATCAGACCAGTGGTCCGTCTAGTCCAGGATCCAGGCACACACAACGGCCAACCAGCTCCTCTGGAGGGCCAACAGCAGGGCATAGGGACCGAGGCCTTCCCCCGAGGATGCCTCCTGGCTCTGACTGCCTCTGAACGTGGAGGTTCCCTTTAGTCACCGTGGCTAGTAGACCTTGCTGGATCTCTCCTCTACGAATTTGTCTAATCCGCTTTTAAAAGTGTCCTATGCCTGTGGCCATCACTACATGCTCTGGCAGCAAATCCCACATTGTGTTCACTCTCCCACTAAAAAGGCTCTGCATCCGGGAAGCGTGGAGAGCCACGGCGGTCGCTGGACCCGTGGTCTGTGAGCCATTATAAGGCAGCTTTTTCGTGTGCTCTCGTGGCTCTCCAGAGCGGCTGCCCTGACCCTGTCTCTGGCCTGCCCGAACCCCAGACGTTCCTCTCCAAAACTTTTGACAAGACAAAGAAGAGATTGGATTTATCCCCCGCCCTTCACTACCCGAAGGAGTCTCAGAGTGGCTTACAATCTCCTTTCCCTTCCCCTCCCCACAACAGACACCCTGGAGAACAATTGCTGCCTGACCCCGAAGTGGCGATCAGCCTTTCCCTGGGCGTGTAAGAAAGGGTCGCGAGAACTAAGCTCCGATGCAACCCTCCCTGCCCTCCCTTCTCGTGATCTGCCGAAGTTCACAGAATCCGCATTGCTGTCAGGTGGCCACCTGGCCTCTGTTTGGAAACCTCCAAAGGAGGAGAGCCCCCCACCTCCCGAGGAAGCCTGTTCCGCTGAGGAACCGCTCTTCAGGAAGCTCTTCCTAATTAGTTAGCCGTAACTGTGGTTATTAAACAGACATCTCCATACTTAGCAGGGAAATTGTGACGACCCCTTCTCTGGGGAGGTCTGTTTTTACTTTAAAAGTGTTCTTTTTAATTTTCCTTTACTGTGTATATCCGGCTGCCACCAGGAAATTTTAAGGCTTTCCAAACCTTTATAATATAATATTTCTATCACTGGGTAGGTAGGTCGGTTTTTAGGCTTTCATGAGGGTCTATGTGTTTCCTGGGAAGTATTTCTTTCAGAACTGGTATCTTAAATAAAAGTAGATTTATTGATATAATTTGTAAATAAAAGAGTGTAACACTGTAACTAGGAATGGGTAAATAATAAACAATTGCTTTGGTATTTCACACACTTTTCCCTTCACTGTCAGGGATCTTGGCGTGTAACTTTGTAACTTTAACTCAAGGTCATGTAAGTTCACTGTTTCTCTCCAGGACATACAGCCTTTCCTAAACTTTGTCTTCAATTACTTTCATTTACATTTTTCTATTCTCCCAGAACAACCTCAGCTGTTCTTAACTGCACACACAGACTGCTTCTCTCACAGACTTCAGAACGAACTCACTTATCCCACACAGGGATGTGTCTCACTCCCTTATACACAGAACTTAACTAACTCCCTAACTGTCTTTTTCAACTGTCTAAACTGTCACTGTTGACTGACACACATTTTCTGAAACCCCTCCCCCTTTCTGCCAATCACCAATCACACTCACTTGCCTGTTTCAACCACTCTAGACTATCATACAGCCATGCAACCAAACTTTTAAAGACACACACACACATAAACAAGGAATCGTTACAGAAATATTTACACGCAGGCTGTTACCGACCCAGTCACAAACTGCAGTTCCCGTTCTGTTCTGGCTCGTGAGTCAGGCAGGCAGGCCGGCCTCACTCACTCACGAGGAAGCCCAGTCAGGGGCCCGTCTAGCCCAGTTCCATGCCGCGTCCCTAACCAAACCGGTCTTTTCTCACCCAGGGCCTGATCGCCGCCCACGACCAGTTCAAATCCACCCTCCCCGACGCGGACAAAGAGCGTGAGGCCATCCTGGGGATCCAGAGCGAGGCGCAGCGGATCGCAGACTACAACAGCATCAAACTGTCCGGAAACAACCCCTACACTTCGGTCACGCCGCAGATCATCAACTCCAAGTGGGAGCGGGTGCGTGGAAGGGGGCGGGGCGGGCGCTGGCCGAGGCCCCAGGCGGAGGGGGGCGGTGGGATCCACCGGGGTGGAGAGAAGACCCCGAGGCCGGGTTGGGTAACCGGCTGTGTCTCGATGGATCCAGGTCCAGCAGCTAGTGCCAAAGAGGGACCACGCCCTCCAAGACGAGCAGAGCAAGCAGCAGTCCAACGAGCACCTCCGCCGGCAGTTTGCCAGCCAGGCGAACATCGTCGGGCCCTGGATCCAGACCAAGATGGAGGTGAGGGGGGGCCATGGCCCGGGGAGGGGAGGGGTTCGGAGAAGTGGGAGGGTGAGGATCAGCTTAGGTCCAGTCCCAGCTGAGCCCCATACGCGTTGGGTGGTCTTTGAGACAAGGTAGTTTTCCCTGCAGGCCCTAGCATACCCCAGGGGGGCTTTTCCTGCAGGCCTTAGCGTACCCCAGGGGAGGCTTTTCCCGCAGGCCCTAGCGTACTCCAGGGGGGGCTTTTCCCGCAGGCCCTAACATACCCGGGGGGGGGGCTTTTCCCGCAGGCCCTAGCATACCCCAGGGGGAGCTTTTCCCGCAGGCCCTAACATACCCCATACCCCAGGGGAGGCTTTTCCCGCAGGCCCTAGCATACACCCTCCCCTCAGTGCCAACCAGTGGAAAGGAATGGCCTGCTTTCTAAGACCGTTGTAAGAACTGGTGGTGGAATGTGCCGTTCAGGTTGCAGCCAGCTAATGGTGACCCTTCAGGTATTTCAAGGCAAGAGACGAGCAGAGGTGGTTTGCCGTTGCCTGCCTCTACGTAGCGACCCAGGACTTCCTTAGTGGCCTCCCGTCGTAATATTGACCAAAGCCCAACCCTGCTTGGCTCCCAAAATCTGAGAAGATCGGGCCAGCCTGGGTCCTCGAGGTCAAAGCAAGAGGCAAAGCTGGCTTGCCGTTGCCTGCCTCTGCGTAGCAACCCTGTACTTCCTTGGTGGTCCATTCAAGTGCAGACTCTGCTTAGCTTAGCGCAGCCCATCCTCGCCAGGGCAGAGACAAACAGAAGTTTGACATTGCTTGCCTGGATTTCCCTGTACATCCAAATACTTACCAGGCCTGACCTTGCTTCGCTTCCGAGATCTGACAAGATGAAACTAGCCTGGGCCACCCAGGTCAAGGCCAAAGACATATAGAGGTGGCGTGCTATTGCCTTGCCTCTCTGTAGACTATAACCCTGCTTAGCTTCCAAGATCTGATGAGATCAGACTAGCCTGGGCCATCCAGTGAGGACAGAAACAAACAGAGGTTTAGCCGTCGCCTGCCTCTGCATAGCAACCCTTGGCTTCCTTGGAGGTCTCCCATCCAAATACCAACCAGGGCCGACCCGGCTTAGCTTCTGAGATCTGAGAAGATCAGGCTTGCCTGGGCCATCGGGGACAGGGCAGAGAGGTGGCCGGCCATTGCCGGCCTCTGCTCGGCGCCCCCGGTCTTCCTTGGTGGCTTCCCGTCCAAGTGCTAACCAGGGCCGACCCTGCTTAGCATCCGAGATCTCACGCGATCGGACTGGCCTGGATATTTTTCCAGTGTGTGTGGGGGTTTGCAAGCAGCCTCCCGGGCTGTCGGCATCCCTCCCGCAAACCGAGCCGGACTCATCGTTTCCTTCTCCCCTCCCCTCTCTCCCCCCACCAGGAGATCGGGCGCATCTCCATCGAGATGAACGGCACCCTGGAGGACCAGCTGAACCACCTCAAGCAGTACGAGCAGAGCATCGTGGACTACAAGCCCAACATTGACCTCCTGGAGCAGCAGCACCAGCTCATCCAGGAGGCCCTCATCTTCGACAACAAGCACACCAACTACACCATGGAGGTACAGGCGAGCGGGGAACGGGGGCAAGCCCCACGGTGGGCGGCAGCGAGCAGGTCGCACCGGGCAGGTGGTGGCAGCACGGTCAAGACTCGGTTTCCCGAATGAGACAGGCAAGGAACTTCCCAGAGGCCTGCCTGCAGCAGTGTCAAAGAGCCAGAGTCCAGTAGCATCCTAAAGACTAACAGGATTTGTGGCAGGGGAGGAGCCTCCCGTGAGTGGTATCTGAAGAAGTGAGCGGTGACTCGTGAAAGCGAATGCCCCCGCCACAATATTTGTTAGCCTTTAAGGTGTTCCTGGACCCTTGATCTTTGCCACTTAGCTTAGAGAGGGAGCATTGGTCTTTGGTATTCTCTGCATGCTTCTAAATTGCCCCCCACCCCCAAATGAAATTTTTTTTGGTGCCATAAAGGACATAAACTCTCAGGGAAAGAAATCAGAACAGATCTCAGGCATCGGGGAAAGAAGCCAGCGTGGAAAGCACTTTGAGCATGGGAGGGGAGGGGCCGCCGTTCTGCCTCCTCGGGTTTACGCCTCTTTTGGAACTCCCCTCCTGAAGCTTCTGTGCTGCAAGGAAGAAGGCGGGGCTCGGGGGCGGGGCTTGGGGGTGGGGTTCGGGGGGGGGCCCCGCAGGGGGGGGGCTGTTTCCACAGCAGGAACAGTCACCCCGATGTGACAGTCTTTCCCGGTATTGCGGATTGAGCCAGCGTGTCCGTCTTTTCACCAGTCGCGTTCCTCCTCTCTTCCTTCTCCAAGCACATCCGTGTCGGGTGGGAGCAGCTGCTCACCACCATCGCCCGGACCATCAACGAGGTGGAGAACCAGATCTTGACCCGGGACGCCAAGGGGATCAGCCAGGAGCAGATGCAGGAGTTCCGGGCCTCTTTCAACCACTTCGACAAGGTAGGCCTGGTTTTATTGGGGGGCGGGGGTGGTATGGGGGGCCTTGCCCCCAGAGCGACAGGTAGCAGCGCGCCCCCACCCCATGTGTGTCTTGGTGGGGTCATCCTTTCACGCCAGCCACCATCTCGGTTTTTGCCAAGCGAGATCCTGTCCGGGGTCGGAAGTGCTGGTTAGAGAGAACCTGAAGAGCCTTTTGAGATCATTGTATTGCACGTGATCGATAAGGGCAATGAATGATAAGCGCATAAGAAGATCCCAGCCGGACTTGGCGGACTGTTGGTCTGCTCCAGCAGTGCTTTTCTTATGCGCTTATCATTCGTTGTCCTTATCGATAATGGGCAACCTCAACATCGCTTTCTGTCTCCTCCCGCCCTCCTTCCGACCAGCTCGTGTGGGGCGTCTCTCTCCTCCCCCTGCTCCTGGGGATAACCTTGTGCCTTATGCCAAGCTGAGAGAGCGTGACCAGTGTTCCCTCTAAGCTGAGTTAGTGTGGGCCAGCTCACAGTTTTTTAGCCTCCGGCTCGCACATTTTTCTCTTCGCTCAGGAAGGGACGGCTCCAGTGCAAACTGATTTAGGCAGTAGCCAAATGGCTCGCTCACAGCTTCAATGCCAGCAGCTCACAAAGCAGAATTTTTGCTCACAAGACTCCACAGCTTAGGGGAGAGCATTGCGTGGCCACCCCCAAGGTGGGCTTGCAGGGTGGAGCGGGGACTCGAACCCAGGCCCTCCCAGTCCTAGTTGGGCATTAATCCAGTCCACTGCATTGACACCCCCGTACCGTCATTTCCCCACCACCACCGATATGGTTAAAGCCCCACTTTTCTCTTCCCTCCTTTCCCAACCTTCCACCAGCAGGAAACCAGAAGCATAGATCTGTGGGCGTGGAGGAAGGCATTTCCCTCCCCCTTGGCTATGAGGTGCTGGGGCTGCACCTCGTTTGATCAGGCCCTTCCCATGCCTGTGCGATTGGGCTACTGAATGCCCATCATCACATGGGCCCGCCCACTTCCCGAAAAATCACTGCCCATGTTGTGCATGCCCCTCCCCCAGTTCATGGGGGATTTCCTTCTGAACAAGGAGGCAACAGGGAAGCCGCCACCATCACCCCTTTGATCGGTTCTGTTTTGCAGAACAATGTTAGCCATTCGGGGTGCCGTAAGTAACCCTGTCATGCCTGGGATAACCTGCATTGTTCCCCCTGAAAAATGGCAAAGTGTGAGGACACAGTGTTAGCCTTCTGGCTGCTGGGAAAGCCCCCCACCCCCACTGGTTGGAAGGGTACTCGGTCTCGCTCTGCAGGGATGGCGTCAGTGGTTTTACTGCCAACCAGCCCAGCAGTTAATTACCGCCCGCGTCCACACCCTTGTTCTTTGCCCCAAATTAGCCCTGCGTTCCTGCCCCTTTTGCTGTCCTACTTGTACCGCTCTGGATGAGCTGGTTCCCCGGGCGCGCACACAGGCCTCATTTCCTGCGGCCTCTCAGGAGAATGTGGACATGGATGCCGGCAGAACGGAGAGCACCGCAATGTGGGCATTCCGAATCCGGCGGCCGACCTGCGCTGGCATTCCCACAAGGACTAGATGAACGCCGCCGCTGTTGGCGTGGCACCCGGGCCCTGTGTGAATCAGACCTGCGTCTTCAGGAGACGGGAGGGCGTTTTGCCGAGCACTTCCCTTCTGGAGACTTCTGTGGCGGTAGAACCACAGGAAATGTTTCCCAGATTCTTAGAGGCCGACGTCAGACTCCCGAGGTTTCTGCCTCGGACGAAGAAGTTGCCCGTTCTCAGTGCCTCATGGGCCATTAGCCTGTGTCGCTGGGGTCAGTCCCTATAACTGGTTCATCCGCTGCCTCCCGCAAGTCCCTGGGTGAGCAGGTGGGGGGGCACGTGGGCAAGCAGGGGCAAGGGGCCATGGCTCAAGAGCATCTGCCTAGCGTGCAGACAGGTCCCAGGATCTCCGGTGATAAGGATCCGGTAGGAGGCAATTTGAAAGACCTTCGTCTGAGTCCCTGGACAGCTGCTGCCGGTCTGAGCAGACAATACTGACCTTGAGGGGCAAATGGCCTGATTCGATAGAAGGCCGCGTCGTGTGTGTATTGGGGAGGGGCCGTGGCTCAGTGGCAGAGCCTCTGCTTGGCTTGCAGGAGGTCCCAGGTTCAGTCCCCGGCATCTCCAGTTAAAAGGGACCAGGCAGGAGTGGATGTGAAAGGCCTCCTGCCAGACTGAGTAGGCAATACTGACCGCAGTGGCCCAAGGCTCTGTTTCGGGATAAGGCAGCTCTCCGCATGTCCGTATTTCCACTGGGGGGTTGGTGGGGAGAAAACCCTCAAAGGCAGCCGGCCTTGAACTAACTGCCTGTCTTTTCCCCTCCCTTGGCTGGCTGTGTGTCCGTGGGCCCTCCCCTCCCCTCCCTTGATGTGCCCGCCACACCCCCTTGCCCCTTCCTCTCACCCTGGTGTGCGTGTGCGTGTGTGTATGTCTGGCACACCGGCAGGACCATGGCGGCTCTCTGGGACCCGAAGAGTTCAAAGCCTGCCTCATCAGCTTGGGATACGATGTGGAAAATGACAGACAGGTACCCGGCGCCCGTTTCGACTCGCGCAGTCCTCTGGGGGAACGTTCGCCATTAACGTGGTCTCCTTTTCTCTCTCCCTTCACCACACCGTCGTCCCCCCCTCCCCCGCCTCTCCTTCCAAACTCCTCTGTGTCCCACTCATCCCCCAACCCGCCCTTGTTGACATCTGTGCCCCGTCTTTCTCGCATCTCGATGACTTCCCGTGACTGACTGTCTTGTCTTTCTCTGTGCGTCTCTCGTCTTCCTTCCTCCTTTCCTGGGGGCTGCCGCTCTCTCCTTCCTCTCACCTCGCATGCCTTCTCCATCTTCCCTTCCTCCTCCTCCTCCTCCTCCTCCTGCTGCTGTCGGCCTCTCGGAGTAGAAGCGTACGGGGAGCATGGATACCGACGACTACCGAGCCCTGCTTATCTCCACGGGATACAGCCTGGTACGCGCGCTCTGCCTTTCTCCCTTTCTCTTGCTCCGGACTCTCCTTCGCCGTTTTGAAACATCCAAGTCTTGCTTATGCTTGCGTGCCCCCTCTGCTGCGGCTCGCACGCTTCGGCTAAGTCAAGCGGGGGAGGTATTCTGGCATGATGAGGGATAAAGACCGCAGGGATTCGGGGTGGGAGGTATTTGCTGGAACTGTCAGCCCCTTGGAGAAGGTTCGTACTTGATTCGGGTTTCGAGGGATTCGCTTTCAAATAAGTTGGCGTATTGCCCGAACGCCAGTCCCTTCTGTAGATTTAATTTGGGGAAAGGTCCGCTTGTCGTTGAAACGGACCCAAGGTTACTAGACCGAAAAATGCGGCCTGTTCAAGTTGGCGGCTTTGGTATTTGCCAGTGTGGATAGTTAACCAGTAGGCTGGGCTTGGGACGTTGGCAATAGAGTTGCATGTATATTTGGGGAAGGCGGAAGGATGCCCTGTCTGTCAATCCAAAGGCAGTGGAGGTTGTGTTGTGTGAGGAGGGCCTTACAGAATCGAAATTACAACCCTTGGAAAGTAGGGGGCACTCCTTTTCCATGCGGCGTAATGCCGTGTGCCCCCGCCACCCCCAGGAAGACCGGATTAAGCCTTGAAGAGGAGGGCAAAGAGGGCTAGCCACCACTGCAGAACCTTAGTACAGCATCCCAGGGCAAGAGAAGCCCCGCCCTTTATCAGACTTCATTGCCTAGGTGAGGGGCTGTGGCTCAGTGGCAGAGCATCTGCCTGGCCCGCAGAAGGTCCCAGGTTCGATCCCTGGTATCTCCAATTAAAAGGGTCAGGTAGTAAGTGATGTGAAAGACCTCCGCCTGAGACCCCGGACTGCCAGTCCGAGTAGACCATACTGACCTTGGTGGACCAAGGCTCTGATTCAGTGTAAGGCCACCTCCCGGGTTTCGCATTCACTGCAGTCAGCGTGGGACTGTCACAAGCAAGGTGCTCCCAGTGGAGCCGCAGGCCGTTTCAGTGCTTGGACGGGGTTCCCGGGGTGTGCCAGGGTCCGATCTAGCCCCTCTGTGAGCAGCAGAGCCTTCGCGTCGCCGAAGTCTGCGCCACTTGCTTGTAGGCTGAAAGCCCTCTTCCTCTCCCTCCGCCTCCAGGGAGATGCAGAGTTCAACCGGATCATGAGTGTGGTGGACCCCAACAACAGCGGCGTCGTGACCTTCCAGGCCTTCATTGACTTCATGTCGCGGGAGACGACGGACACTGACACGGCGGATCAGGTCATTGCCTCCTTCAAGGTCCTGGCCGGAGACAAGGTGAGCTTCCGGGGGGCCCACACACTGCGGCCTAAGGGTCTGTACCCACACCTGAGCGTAAGCAGGCCCGTAGCCAGGATTTTTTAAATTCCGGGGGCATTTAAATTTCTTAGGGGGCACTGGCCAATAGAATTAAAGGGATACCTGGTTCTCTCCCTGCACCTGCCAGCGCTCAGGGGCCCTGGGCCTTGCCAGGAAGTGAAGGAGGCCTAGCTCCGGCATGCCCCCACTGTAGCTACGGGCCTGAGCACAAGAACAAGAGAATCGGTTTCTCCTCCTCCTAGACGTGGCAACAATGTGCTTGTGTCAGTGTGGACGTAGGAGGTTGGGGGGGGGGGGGGGGGGCTAAGTAGGATTTCCAGAGATAGAGGCAGGGGGCCCTCGGGGGCTTGCGTTGCACCCTGGTACCGTTCCCACAGCTAGCCCAGCCAGAGAACGTGACCCAGATTGCAAGATAGAAATTGGCTTAATTCACACAAGGCATCGAGGTCGCGGGATTCCGTTTCTGGGAACGCAGAATTGAGAAACGATTCCACCTGCCCCCCAAGAAAAGCGTGGGGAACGCAACCCGTGGAACAGTGTGCCAGAGCACACTGGATTCGCTCCATTTGAGCAATGAGTTCGGGGGGCCACGAAATTTCGGTCCGTTCCGGCTTTTCGCAGAGCCGTTCCCACAGCTAGAAGCATCGGCGGTACAGAAGCGAACCGCGGCCCGCCGTGCGCTCACCATCTCGTACTCTTTTTTTACACGCTCTTTCTCAGAACTACATCACAGCCGAGGAGCTGCGCCGAGAGCTGCCCCCGGATCAGGCCGAGTACTGCATCGCTCGCATGGCACCTTACCAAGGGCCCGACGCCATCCCCGGAGCCCTCGACTACAAGTCCTTCTCGACGGCGCTGTATGGAGAGAGCGACCTGTGAGGCTGAGAGGGCGGCGGCGGCAGCAACTGCAAGCGCTGGCGCTTTGGGGAGGGCAGGAGCCAGAGTTCGATCTCCCCACCACGCAAACACACACACAGTCTCTCTCTCTCTCTCTCTCTCACTCCCTCTTTCCGCAGGGGCCCCCGGCCTCCTACTCTTTTCTGTCTTTTCTCTCTGAGGACAGCAGTCTGCCTCCACGCTGGGCGAAACCTGGGAGCTGGCCTACGAAACTCTTTTCCTCGCTGCGCTATTCTACGAACAGTTACCTATGCAACGGCCTCGCCTTTCGCCCTCTGTTCCCGGCACCGAGCTGCAGGGGGGCGCAAGGCTCGATTCCCCCTTCCCACCCCACTGACCATCCTTACTTTGCCTTGCTTGGGAATGGGGAGGGGGGTAGACAAGGGAGGGGGGGCAAAGAGGAGGTGAGGCGGGCGGGAGTCCAGTGAACGTGGGGGGTTTTCGTTTGAGTGACCGAATCCTGTTCAGACCGCTGTCGCTCTCTACTCTTGGCTGGGTACGTCGTTCCGGAGTTGAGTTCTTTCCTCCCCTGGGCTTGCCTTGTTCCCCCCCCCCCTTTTTCCAATTTTTTAAAAATTTAAGCCTCGTTCTAGCAGAAATCCTAGCAGTGGGGGCGGGTGTTGGCATCACCCAGGTTTGGAAGGAAAGCTAGGGCCGCCTCCTGCTCCGGGCACAGAACCGGGACGCATCCGTTGTTCCCGCGCCCCCACGGACCTTTCCGCCAGCTGTCCCGGGGCAGTGTTCGGGGAAGCCTTCCTGGCGTGGATTCCCTCTCTCGCCCCAACCAGGGAAGAGATTCTAATGGGCATGCTGGCTCGATGAACCAAGCGCCAGGCCGGCGCTCTTACCGGGTCACCCAGGGGAGGGTCCATGTGCCAAGACCCACCCACCCCGGCCTTTCCAGGCCAACTCCTTGGGCTCAGCGCACGCCCTTCTATGCACATCCGTTGCACAGCCTTCTTCCCCCTGCCGGGATGAGTTGGCGTCTGATTCGGCGCTGGGGAGGGAAGAGAGGTGAACCCCTTGCCTGCCTCCCTCTTTCCTTTCCGCAGGCCAGGGATGCTGCGGTGGAGGCAGGGCCTTTCCTGGGACGTCTCTCGCTTCCGGCTTTTCGCTTTCTGCTTACAGGGGAAGCAGGGAAAGGCACGCCGGCGGGGGGGGAGGCCTCTCGCTCTTACGTAACGGCCTCCTCGGCCAGCTTCTTTCCGACCGGTTCCGGGCTGCATCCTCCCTTCCTTCCCACGGTTCACCTTTGCACATGGTTTAGAACACACGATTTCTCTCAGCAATACCGACAACACAAAATCAAGGGCAGAACACCAAACGGGTTCATTTTACATACAAGCAGAATCATGGGCGCCAGGGGCTGGGCCGAGGGGCGTCCCGTTTCCCCCCTCCCCTATTTCCAGTATCTTGGGGCGGGGGGGCCCTCTTGCTGGAAACGAAGGCTCAGAAGCAAGCAGCGTCCTGAATGGATTTGTCTTGGTTTTTCTGTTCACGCGCACCCTTTTATACACGGTGGGTGGTAAGCGGGGCGGGGGGAGGGAGTCCTCTAGAAATGGACTCTATGGCATTGTACCCTGCTAAGGTCATTGCCCCCCCCCCAAGCCTCTCCCACCCAGGCCTCCACCCCAAATCACCAGGAATTCTCCAGCCTGGAGCTGGCAGCTCATCTTAACTATAAAGGTGCTCTTGAAGGGAAATCTTAAACAGTGTCTTTCTGGAAGCGGGGTGGGGATCCACGATCGCATTTCCCAGCTTTCCTTGCCAGAGGGAGAGAACCTAATGGGACGTCGAGTTAGCGAACGGGGACCAATAAAGCAAGTCCCAGCGTAGATCGCTCTCTCTTTTTTTTTCGGGGTGCCTCCAAAGCCGTCTTCCCCCCGCCCCGGGGGGGGGGGCGAGAGCGGCTTCTTCATCATGGTGCAGGGTTTTCCCCCCACCCCCTCCGAGGACCAAAATTTAAAGAAAAGGAGAAACCCGTGCAGGAAAAAAAAAAAGAAAAAATCTTCTTAAAATAATAAAATTATGAATAAATTTTTTTTAAAAAGCAGAGGGAAAAAAAAACTTTAAAAAAAACACCAAACCACAGCAAAACTGTTGCGATTTAATAACGTCCAGATTTATTATTATTAAATATATATTCATCTAGCATCGTATATTTGCCGATGGGGTTATTTCGTGTGTGTCTTACTCATCATGTCATTAAAGTTACGGCTGACCTTTAGCACTGGAGATCGGTTAACATTCCCGCGCCTTTCGTCATTCCATTTTTTTGTTGTTGTTGTTGCTGTCGTCGTTATTTTCTGTTTGGGTTTCCTCCTCCCGCCCCCCCACCACACCCCATCGGAGAAGGTTAGTTTAATTTTATTGCGTTTGCTACTGAGCGTCCTCTCTCGGGAACGGCGAGGGGTTGGGCGTTTCAGCTGATAGGGAGTCGCTGGCTTCTGTCTGTCTCTGTCGTTCATCAAGACTGTTCTGAAAACTTCCACACTTTCTCTGGGGAAACCAGCCCCCTCCCCTCCCCTCTTGGGAAATCAGACAATAAAACGTCATATTTTTAAGGACGATCGATCTGGTGTGGTTCTTTCCTCTCCCCCCCACCACCACCTCGTTGAATATGTCTAGCGTTTTGTAGAGGAGAAAGAGAGGCACACCTTTAATTCTTCCGCCAAGGAGCTCTGCTTGAATTCCACATCAGCATGCTTTTTTGGGGGGGGGGGGGCAAAAGGACACAACATTTTCCCATGACATACACGAAGGGCCTCAAAGTGGCACCCAGACCTGGATCGGCCAGGCCAGCCTGATCTCGTCAGATCTCAGAAGCGAAGCAGGGTCGGCCCTTGTTGGTACTTGGATGGGAGACCGCTAAGGAAGTCCAGGGTTGCTACGCAGAGGCAGGCAATGGCAAACCCAAGGCTCTCGCCTTGACACGAGTCAGTTGCAACTTGGCAGCACTTTACACGTACACATCTAAAGCCGCTCCCAGTCCCACTATAGGAGAAAACCGTGCGAGGCGTCTTGTAGCTGTCTGGGATGTGGCCAGCCGTTCAAGATACACCTCGGCAGGTGGAGTGCGCAAAGTGTCCGTCTGCGCATTTCATGTTTCCTTACTGTACACACGCAGCCAATTAGGCCTACAGTCAAAATGCAGCTACAGGGATTTAAACTGTTAAGCCGAATCCCGCAGAGCGAGAATGCACACAGCGCGAGGGCGCTAGTAACATTTTTTAGCAAGGCATTCACAGAGGGCAAGAAAAGGCCATGGGGTTACTAGTGAGGCAAAGAACAGGGGGGTAGGTCTTGGGTTTGTGGAGTCACAAATGTAAAAGGGGTTTTGTTGCTGAGCATGAGCTTAAAAGGGACTCTGAAGAGTCGGTGCTTGAAACTCTCGCAGGGACTCTGGACACGGAAGGAGACGCATGAACGGGCTTGTAAATAATCTCCGTATTGGTGGAAAGGATCTCAAACCAGCAGTGAAATCTTTCTGTTAAGATGCCTGCACCGGAAACTGCCGAGTGCCACACATGGCTGGGACCGAGGGTCTACAGAGAGTTTTTGCGCCAAACGTGGAAGGGGATGGGATGGAAACCGTGGCCCAGATCTGAACATGAATTCTGACCTTGCAGATGAAGACATGAACAGCAGAGCATGTAAGAACATAAGCCAATGTGGGATCAGGCCAATGGCCCATCCAGTCCAACACTCTGTCACACAGTGGCCCAAAATACCAGGGGTCATCAGGAGGTCCAGCAGTGGGGCCAGAACTCCAGAAGCCCTCCCACTGTTGCCCCCTCCCCCAAGCACCAAGAAGACAGAGCATCCCTTGCCCCAACCTGAGAGTTCCTGTCTATACCTTGTGGCTAATAGCCACTGATGGACCCCTGCTCCATATGTTGATCCAATTCCCTCTTGAAGCCGTCTGCAGAGGACTTGTGGGGCTCAGATGGGTAGCGCGGCTGGATAGTCCACCCCAGGTGAACACACTAGTGTCGGATCCCCACCTCTGCTTTGCCTGTATGCCCATTTGTCCGTCTGAAAATTGTGCCATCCAAAAAGAATATTTTTCAGCATTTCGGCAACTACCTACTTGTGGTTTTAAGGATAATCTTATGCCACTTGTGTGAATAGTTTAACTTTGTCTCTCACTGCCAGGCCAACGCGATCCATGCTGAAGACCTTTCGGTAGTTGTTCTGGTCATACAAAAAAATGACCTGGATCGAGTCTCTCCCCACACCTTGTCCTGACCCGGCTTCTGAAAATTGCTTTTGATCCAGCCGCACGTCGGTCACACATGAAAGCACGAGGGCTTAGTCACACTGGCATCCACGAGCCGGTTAGACCGGAAAGACGTGGCACTGAGCCATGTGCTAAAAACTGGGTTCCGTCGAAATCTGCGCCCGGATGCTGTTGCAGCAGAGGCTGTTGGGAAATTCCCCCCTGCTCCTGCACGGGCGACAGCGTGACCACGCTCTTCCCCTTTTTCTCTCTTCTACCCTCAAATCCCGTAACTTTTGTCTGAAATGCTACAATGCAAATGATGAAAGAGTACGGCATAGGCAAGTTATGAAGACTTTCTGGTTGGGGAAACTCGTCTTTTCTCCCTCAAAAAGTAGCACCTGCTAAGCAGGGTTGACTTTGGCAAGTACTTGGATGGGAGACCACCTTGGAATACCAGCAGTCGGGAGGCGGGGGCAGGCTTTATTCAGCCACCTCTCTGAATATCCCCCAGGCCCCCAGTAGGGGTCTGTCACCAGAGGTCGCCATGACTTCCAGGTGCATGCATGCACACATATATGAAAAATACAAAAAAAACCCTACACCTGCCATATTGTTTTTCTTCAAAAAATTTTGATGCCCGGCAGTGTTCCCTCTGAGTTTGTATGAGCTAGTTCACAATTTTTAGCCTCCAGCTCACACATATTTGTCTTAGCTCAGGGAGGAGGGCTCCAGAGCAAACTAATTTATGCAGTAGCCAAATCGCTCGCTCACAACTTTAATGCCAGTCACTCACAAAGTAGAATTTTTGCTCACAGGACCCCACAGCTTAGAGGGAGCATTTTGTGTGGGAGGAACGGGGACGAGGTTCGGCGCGAGGCCTCTTAAATGTGACCTGAAGTGTGGGGTGATTGCCGTGGATTTCCAGATGAATACCCGGAATCTTTGTCCTGTTAAAAACACTGTCCGAGAGCAGAGCAGTTAACTATATCTGGCCTCTTCCAGTCAGAACCATTTTGCTCTGGGTTTGGAGGGGAAGGGGGGTCGACATCTGAGAAAAGCTGCAAGAGGTGGAGGCTGACCAGAAAGTGCCCAAGATGTGGCACTGAGAGTGAACTCCAATTATGTGTCCCAACCTTTTGTCTCCACCTTAAACCACCCTTGAAATCTGTGGCCTGAGGCAGTCGCCACCTCCTGTGGCCAGCCGTGACCTTAGCAGTACTCTGAAGTCATAAGGGGAGGCCCCACCTTATCCTCCACAGCCAATCTTTCCCCCTTTTAATTCCGTTTTGGCTCCCGGAGCAGAACAAGCGACGGCCCGGTTGAGGGCCTCATTGTTGAATATGCATTTTATTCTTTTCACAACCTGTCCGCTCCTCAGAGTAGAGCTGCCTTGGGTGGGGGGGGCAGTTCTTGCTGCCTCCCCCCCCCCCGGCAAAGCATTCAGTGGCCTGCAGGATGTGGCGGAAGAAATTTGAGTTCCTCTAGCATCACGTCCCCATCCATTTCCAGGAAGATGGCGTCCTTTGGCGGAAAGCAGTGGGGGAATTCGTCCAGAAATCGGCCATTGGCGAATATCTGAGAGAAAAATGGACAGGGTCAAAGGAGGGGGAAACCTCTGGCCAGCCAGGCACAACAATCTGAAATCATTGGGGGGGGGGGCCTTGCTTTTGTCTCCTCTAAGCTATGCGTCTGAAGCCTCAGGCGAGTGGCAGAGGCTCACCCAGATGGGTTTGAAGATTCTGTAGTACTGCCATTCTTTGGCTGTCTCTGGGAGAAGAAGAAGAAGAAGAGATTGGATTTATACCCCGCCCTTCACTTGGAGTCTCAGAGCGGCTTACAAACTCCTTTTCCTTCCCCTCCCCACAACAGACACCCTGTGAGGTAGGTGGGGCTGAGAGAGCTCTGAGAAAACTGCTTGAGAGAACAGCTCTGACAGAGCTATGGCTTGCCCAAGGTCATCCAGCAGCTGCAAGTGGAGGAGTGGGGAATCAAACCCGGTTCTCCCAGATTAGAGTCCGCACACTTATCCACTACACCAAACTGGCTCTGGAGGATCTTGCCGCGCATGGATAGAGTGTCAGGGTGCCACAGCTCTTTCTCGGCATGCACACTGAGAAGTCAACAGGACAGAGGATTCGTCCACAGCTGGGCTTTATGTATTTCATCTCCGATTTTCTGGCACTGCTGCCCACTGTCCTAGCTTTGTGAGACCCCAGTTCCGTGTCTCTGATGCTACCTGACTTCCTCTCACAAGCTTAAGAACATCAGAAAAGCCCTGCTGGATCAGACCAGTGGTCCGTCTAGTCCGGCATCTTGTCTCACCCAGCGGTCAACCAGTTCCTCTGGAGGGCCAACAATGGGATACAGAGGCCGAGGCCTTCCTCTGATGTTTCCTCAAGGCACTGGGGTTCAGAGGTTGACTGCCTCTGAATGTGGAGGTTCCTTTTCGTCACCATGGGTAGTAGTCACTGATAAACGTGTACTCCATGAATCTGTCTAATCCCCTTTTAATGCCTATGGCCGTCACCACATCCTCTGGCAGCAAATTCCACATTTTAATCGCTACCGCTTGTATTTCATGCAGGACCTAGAAACTTTGAAGGCCGCTAGATATCACCTAGATCAGAGATGTCAAACTCGTTCGTTACGAGGGCCAGGTCTGACATAAACGTTACTTCGTCGGGCCAGGCCAGGTCTGCCGTAAAATGAAATGCCAGGTACCGGAGATATAAAGTTTATAAAGGACACAGACAAACCCAATCAAGGCTATTTTTTACTCAAAATACAAACAAAAGCAATTGATTTACTGGGGAATCCACGAAAGCCCCAATAAACGTATCTAATCATACGCAAGATGAGATTTTTTTCCCCCAAAGGGATACCATACCCTCCCTCTAGCCATTTCCTTTCATTTCTTGACAGCTTCAACCACACACCTGATAAGTCTCCTGGCCTCCCCTCACACCAGTTGCTCGTGGGCCGGATAAGAGCCCTAGATGGGCCAGATCCGGCCCCCAGGCTGCATGTTTGACACCCCTTACCTAGATGGTTCATAACTGTTCCAGATAAGACAAGGAAGTGAAGGCCTTATGCTGTCCCCCACCCCCCCGGGAAACATGCAATTCCAGATAGACTGCTTCTCTACATGAAGGTGCCATTTAATTATCAATGCTTAGGCTTTACCCCTTTCTGCCCCAGGGTGGCTAATAACCTCTTCAGTGCCCTCTAACCTTTGCCCCTGTGAGTTCCTTCTGCTGATTGTTGCATGTGGAAGTGCTCTTTGCTTTCCACCATGGACCACCAGTCACATAATCCTCGCTTCCTCTCACGCAACACACAAATGTCCCCAGGATCCCCGGCGGAGCCATGCATCATTTGAAAACCTCGAATTGTTTTGTTCCGGACTTTAGGGGGGGGGAAACCCCAAATGCTTCCCCTCCCCAGACAAACCTTGTAGCTGTTGCGAGTCACGTTGATTTTGATCGTGAACCTTCTGCCTGGCTTCAGGGGGCTCTCCTTTATCCGCGGTCTGTCTTCGAAGCAGTTGAGCGTAACAATAGCCATGTAGGGAAGGTCGTCGAAGTGGGCTTCTAATCGGAGAGCCTTCGCCCTCTCGTATTGGCCGTTAGCGAACTGGATGTAGAACCTGCCAGAAGAGAGAAGGATTCACCGATCTGCCCCAGCGGGTTTTTCTGGGTGCTCAGATGATAACACACACACACGCACAGCCTGCTGACTCTCCTGCAAAAATCGAACTTGTGAAGCTGTTCCACGTACGGTAAAGGAACATAAGAACATTGGAAGAGCCCTGCTGGATCAGACCAGTGAGGGTCCGTCTAGTCCAGCATCCTGTCTCACACAGTGGCCAACCAGTTCCTCTGGACGGCCAACAGCAGGGCAGAGAGGCCAAGACCTTCCCCTGATAGGAACATTAGAAGAGCTCTGCTGGATCAGACCAGTGAGGGTCCATCTAGTCCAGCATCCTGTCTCACACTGTGGCCAACCAGTTTCTCTGGAGGGCCCACAACAGGGCAGAGAGGCCGAGGCCTTCCCCTGATCAGAACATCAGAAGAGCCCTGCTGGATCTGACCAGTGGTCCATTTAGTCCAGCATCCTGCCTCACACAGTGGCCACCCAGTTCCTCTGGAGGGCCCACGACAGGGCAGAGAGGCCAAGGCCTTCCTCCGAGGTTGTCTCATGGCTCTGGGATTCAGAGGATGAGTGCTTCTAAATATGAAGGTTCCCCTTGGTCACCGTGGCTAGTACCCTCTGATAGACTTCTCCTCCGTTAATCTACCTAATCCCCTTTTCGAGCGGTTTATTCCTGTGGCCATCGCTACATCCTCCGGCAGCAAATTCCATATTTTAATCGCTCTCTGTGTAAAGCAGTATTACCTTTTGTTCGTCCTGAGCCTACTGCCCATCAGCTTCATTGGATGCCCTTGAATTGTAGTTAGTATTTTCTCTCCCCATCCCATGCGTAGCTTTAGAAACCTCCCTCATGTCCCCCTTTAGTCTCTTTTCTAAACTGACTCTTCCGCCTTTCCTCCTAGAGAAGGGGCTCCAACCCCCCCCCCATCATCTTGGTCACTGTCCTCTGTACTTTTTCCAACTCTGCCATGTCTCTTTGGAGATACGGTGACCAGAACTGTACACACTATTCCAAATGAGGATGCACCATAGATCTATACCGGGGCATTACAATATTGGCCCTTTTATTCTCAATCCCTTTCCTGATATTTATTTGTTGTTGTTGTTGTTCAGTCGCACAGTCGAGTTCGACTCTTAACGACCCCATGGACCAGATCACGCCAGGCCTTCCGGTCTTCTGCCGTCCTCTGAAGTTTGCTCAACTTCATGTTCGTTGCATCTATGACACTATCTAACCATCTCATCCCAGTCTTTTTTGACCTTCAATCTTTCCCAGCATCAGGGTCTTCTCCAGTGAGTGCTCCCTTCTCATTTGGTGGCCAAAGTATTTGAGCTTCAGTTTCATTATCTGGCCTTCCAGGGAACAGTCAGGGTTGATTTGATCTCCTTGCAGTCCAAGGGACTCTCAAGAGTCTTCTCCAGCACCCTAGTTCAAAAGAATCTATTCTTCGGCGCTCGGCCTTCCTTATAGTCCAACTCTCGCAGCCATACATGACTACTGGGAATACCATTGCTTTGACCATGCGGACTTTTGTTGGCAGTGAGACATCCTATTTTTCCATGTATGTACACATCTGCTACGGGTACCATAGAGTTTGCCTTCCCCCCCCCCCCACCGCTGCAGCACACTAGGTTGACACTTTCATTGAACTAGCCACTAGGACCCTGAGGTCTTTCCCCCTCTCAGTCTCCGCAAGTTCAAACCCCGTTAGCCTCTACTTGAAGTTAGAAAAAAAAATGTGTCCCAGTGTGCATTACTTACCAACACTGGACTTATTTGCCATACTGTCACTCGCTCACCCAGTTTGTGGAGGCCCTCTTGGGTCTCTTCCCAGTCAGCCTTGGTTTTCGCCATCCTAAATACTTTTGTGTCATCTGCAAACTCGGACACTACACTAGTCAGCCCCAGTTCTAGCTTCCCACACTGAAATGGGCTGGTTTGGGTCAGTGTTCCCTCTAAGCTGAGTGAGTGCGAGCTAGCTCACAGTTTTTTAGCTTCCGGCTCACACATTTTTGTCTTAGCTCAGGAAGGATGGCTCTAGAGCAAACCAGTTTATTCAGTAGCCAAATCACTCGCTCACAACTCTGATGCCAGTAGCTCACAATGTGGAATTTTTGCTCACAAGATTCCACAGCTTAGAGGGAACATTCGTGGGGAAGGCGGCCTCTCGCCTAACTTCCAGTGCAGCAAGGGGGTGGGACTCAGACCTTCTTTACTCCTGCCAGTTAGCCGATGGTGGGCTGCGGTTCCGTAGTGGAGTGTAGGAAGCGCTCTGTGCATGCCCAGAAGCACTCTCCTTGAGTGATACTGCACAAGTCCCATGAAAATGTCATAGCATGGCAAAACCTTGGGGGGGGGGGGTTTTCAAGTAAAATAAAAACAAAAGAGAAACGCCCTCAAGGAGCGCCAACCCAAAAGTTCGCAAGTAGGTAGATCAAAAAGAGAGAATGTATTGCGAAGTGCAAATCAAGAGCATCACCTAAAACTGCAACTTGAAAAAGAACGTGACAAGGATTTGTTGTTGTTGTTCAATCGCACAGTCGAGTCCGACTCTCCGCGACCCCATGGACCAGATCACGCCAGGCCTTCCGCTCTTCTGCCGTCCTCTGAAGTTTGCTCAACTTCATGTTCGTTGCATCTATGACACTGTCTGACCATCTCATCCCTTGCCGTCCCCTTCTTCTTTGACCTTCAATCTTTCCAGCATCAGGGTCTTCTCCAGCAACTGCTCCCTTCTCATTTGGTGGCCAAAGTATTTGAGCTTCAGTTTCATTATCTGGCCTTCCAGGGACTCTCAAGAGTCTTCTCCAGCACCATAGTTCAAAAGAATCTATTCTTCGGCGCTCGGCCTTCCTTATAGTCCAACTCTCGCAGCCTCCTGTACAATGTCACGAACCTCCGTCCATAGTTCTTCAGGCACTCTATCTATCAAATCTAGATCCTTGAATCTATTCTTCACGTCTACTGTATATTCATCAGGGATGCGATCTAGGTCAAACCTGACAAGCATACAGTCATAAATAATCTTCGGTGTTACCAGTAACAAGTGTGTACGTACGTGGAAAAATAGATGGGATATCTCTATAAATATAGAAAACATCAAAAAGGCATTAATGCACGTCACGGACTACAGATCAACAGCCAAACTCCGTCTCGAGTAGCTCTTTGTTAGACCATTTCTCTGTTATCCTGTTTATTGCATTTTAAAAGTGTCACCTAACGCTAATGCCACGACAGCTATGTTAATCAGCAGAGAGTCCAAAAGCTTCCATTATTTTAAAGGTCATGTTTAAACATTAACAGCAAAGAAAAAAAGAGGAGGTTTGCGGTACGGAGAAAATAGAAGACCGGAACCCCGTGAATATAATAACGAAAAGTTTATAAAAATAGTATGTGAACCCTTTAACAAATGTGACGAATGAAGAATATTATACTAAATGTTTCTGGTATCAGTCCAGTTTTTGAACCAAAGCGATCCTGTTAATGGGGCACTGGTAAAAATCCTATTTCCACAGTGTCTTCTCCAGGAACAGGTACTGCACCCGAAACCTTAACAAACGTTATGAATGATGAATATTATACAAAATGCTTCTGGTGTCAGTCCAATTGTTGAAGCTTCGGCTCCATCAGCGTCGGGCTTTATTGCTTATCTGGGAAGGACGGCTTCAGATAGGAATTTTGTTACAACTGAAGTGTCTTCAAAAATCGGACTGACACCAGAAACACTTAGTATAGTATTCTTCGTTCGTAACGTTTGTTAAGGGTTCGCATACTATTTTTATAAATTTTTTGTTAGTATATCCACAGATTTCTAAACATTCACAGCAGCAATTATTTACTCAAAGAACTCCCCCACTCCAAAAATGATTAATTTACTAATGTGCGTGTGTTTTATGTACTATCAAGTCATTTCTAACTTAGGGCGACCCTGTGAATTAATTACCTTGGGGTTTCCAGCCCTGTGTTGGGAAATACTTGGGATTTGGGGGGCGGAGCCCGGAGAGGGTGGGGTTTGGTGAGGGGAGGGGCCTCGGCAGGGTACAATGCCATAGAGTCCGCCCTCCAAAGCAGCCATTTTCTCCAGGAGAACCGATCTTGGTCGTCTAGAGATGAGTTGTTATAGCGAGAGATCTCTAGGTAATTGGCAACCTTAAATGACCTCCAAAATGTCCTTCTGTTAACAGCCTTGCATATAACCATAAAAGGTGTGCGCAAATGCCATAAATTCAACTCAATTTTTTTAAAAGTTGACCTACAAAAAGGGGATTTATTAGTTAGAAAGAAGAAGAGATTGGGTTTATACCCCGCCCTTCACTCGGAGTCTCAGAGCGGCTCACAATCTCCTTTCCCGTCCCCTCCCCACAACAGACACCCTGTGAGGTGGGTGGGGCTGAGAGAGCTCTTGTGAGAGAGGTGGGGTTGAGAGAGCTCTTTGGAGGACTGCTCTTGAGAGAACAGCTCTGAGAGAACTGACTGGCCCAAGGTCACACCAGCAGCTGCATGTGGAGGAGTGAGGAATCAAACCCGGTTCTCCCAGATTAGAGTCCACACTCCTAACCACTACACCAAACTGGCTCTCGGTGTCTCTCTCCGTGTGAGATGTAAAATTCATATTGTGAGATCAGGTGGTATTTTTCAGTGGGTAGTTTGCAACACACTCCTCCAACAAAAAAAATGAACTGTCTCTGGTGAGGAGCTCATCACTGCTCATTGTTGTTGTTGTTCAGTCGCACAGTCGAGTCCGACTCTTCGCGACCCCATGGACCAGATCACGCCAGGCCTTCCAGTCTTCTGCTCATTGAGCGTGGGTTTTTATGTCGGTAGGACTGATGGGTAAGTTACCGTTTGCTCTGTTCTGGAATTAAGCCGGCCAGCACAACGGTCGATTCCAGGCGCAGGCCACCTGAGATCCTCCAGTAGAAAGGCATATCCTGCAAGACAGAATTCCAAACTGAGGCCCACTTGCCAATTTTGGCTCCCAAGTTTCTAGTCCTGAAGAGGACAGAGAAATCTCTCGAATCTCAGGAACACCCTCTGATGTAGGGCCTCTAGTTCTCCAATCTGTGAACTATTGTGCTTAGATCCATGTCAGGAAATACATGGAGATTTGGGGGGATCGATCCAGAGGAGGGCGGGGTTTGGGGAGGGGAGGGACTTCATTGGGGTATAATGCCATAGAGTCCCCCTTCCAAAGAGGCCATTTTCTCACGGTGAATTGAGGGTTGGGAGCCCTAGTCGCCGGAGATGTGGACTTGAGCTGCGTTTCTTCTTTGAGGGGGTTTCTCTGCCTCCCTTTTCCTAACCCTGGAGCTTTAGGGATAGTCCCCCATCTCAAAACATTTACTTTGGTCGAATCTGCATTTGCATTTTTAAATTAGTTCCGTGCTGCTGTGACGCCGCCTTTCTCTATGCTCGTTTGAATGTTGTTTGGAGAAGATTCTTTTGAAGCAGTGCAGAGGTGCAATGGCAGTGGAGTCGCCCCGAAAGGACGATAAACATATGTGGACGTGCAAAAGTATGCTAGCACTGTTGAGGTGTGAAAACGACACCAAATGTAGACAGCTTTTTTGAGGACGGAGTCAAAAGGCTGGGACACCGGTGGGAACGACAAATGCAGATTCCGCCAATTGTTGCCACTTTGTGGCTGAAGTCAGCATGTTCCAACCAGGAGGCCTCTTTCCTCCTACCGGCCTGTCTGGTCAGACTGCTTCAATCAGTACCTTGTCTTTCACGGGTGCAAATCATACCTGGGACCTCACAAGAGTTCCTCTGGGTTTCCTGATTTGCAAAACGGGAATTGGATGCCAGAAGAATTCTCGGGAAGAGAATTCTGCAGTAAGATGACTAGGGCGATGTTTCGAAACGTTCAACGGGACTGAGAAATTGCGTGTGTTTTCCCTTCTCCAAAACTGTCTGTTACACCACAATGGCACGTGTGGGGTTTTTGTTTTTGTTTCGTTTCCTTTTACGAAGGCGTGGTTTTTCTAAGGAATACGGATGTGGCGGCTCTTCGTCTGAACCCGTCCGGTGGGGCAACAAGGACTCGTGCTGCATTTCTCAGTTCCCCAGGATTTAGAAATACACACAGTTTGCTTTGTCTCGGCCTCCCTTCAGTGGAGCAATTGAGGAACTTCCCCAATGAAGGGAGAAGAAGAGGAGGAGGAGGAGACTGGATTTATACCCCGCCCTTCACTACCCAAAGGTGTCTCAGAGCGGCTCATTTATTTAATTACAAACTCCTTTCCCTTCCCCTCCCCACAACAGACACCACCCTGTGAGGTAGGTGGGGCTGAGAGAGCTCTGACAGAAACTGCTCTTTTTTTTCAAGAACAGCTCTGACAGAACTATGGCTCACCCAAGGTCATCCAGCAGGTGCAACTGGAGGAGTGGGGAATCAAACCTGTTTCTCCCAGATTAGAGTCCACGCACTTCACCACTACACACAGCTGGCTCCTTTGTGGTTGCTGACCTGCCCAGTCTGGGGTTGAAGATGCCAGGTATGGCTGGTTTTTCCAGGTCCCCCCCACCCCGGGCCACTGGCGGAGGATGGGGGGTGGGTGTAGGGATACTCTTGGAGATTTGGAGGTGGAGCCCGAGGGGGCCAGGGACGTCAGTGGGGTACAGTGCATAGGTGTCAAACTCATTCGCTATGAGGGACAAATCTGACATAAACGTCACTTTGTCGGGCCGGGCCACACATGCCATAAAATGTAATGCCAGGTACAGGAGAATCAGCGTTCCCTCTAAGCTGAGTTAGTGTGAGCTAGCTCACAGGGTTTTTTTAGCCTCCGGCTCACACATTTTTGCCTTCGCCCAGGGAGGATGGCTCCAGAGCAAACTTAATTTATGCAGCAGCCAAATCGCTCTATCACAACTTGAATGTCAGGAGCTCGCAGAGTAGAATTTTTGTTCACAAGCCTCCACAGCTTAGATATATCTCTCATTGCGGGAGATATAAACTTTATGAAGGATACAGGCCAATCCGATTAACAATATTATTTTTTACCCCAAATACAAACATTCTTAAAACCTTAACACTCTTAGGTTATTTCCTTGGAGTATCTCCCTGATGCCCACCCACTGTTATCCACTCCCTGTTACACATTAGCACTGGGACAGCATACAGGGACATAATGCACAGCCTCAGTCATCTGGCAATAAAGGTAATGACCAGGTGCTCGTGGGCCGGTTCCGGCCTGCGGGCCGTATGTTTGACACCCCTGCCATCGAATCCGCCCTCCAAAGCATCCATTTTCTCCAGGGGAACTGCTGGAGATGAACTGGTATTCTGGGGGGGTCCCCAGGCTGCACCTGGAAACTGGCACCTTTGTGTATGGTTTTGCTCCGGTGTCCACAGCGTCTTGAGGAAGGCATCAGGTAGCGGTTAAAAAGCTGAGCGTAAATTGTGGGCTTCTGTTTCACCAATGTTTGCCGCCTGTCCTTGGTGAATTAGCAGGAGTCTCTCTCACACACACTCGTTAGGGTTGCCAGCTCTGGGTTGGGAAATACCTGGAGATTTGGGGGGCGGGGCCTAGGGAGGGCGGGGTTTGGGGAGGGGAGGGAGAGCCCACCTTCCAAAGGGGTGGTTTTCTCCAGGCGAACTGATCTCTGTTGCCTGGAGACCAGTTCTGATCCCAGGAAGTCTCCAGCCCCCTCCTGGAGACTGACAACCCTACACTAACTACAATCCCAGAGAAGGGCAATGCCAAGGAATGGTCAAACTATCGCACGGTTGCACTCATTTCACACGCTAGCCAAGGTCATGCGCAAGATCCTACAAGCTAGGCCTTAGCAGTACGTGGATAGAGAAGTGCCAGAAGTACATGCTGAGTTTCGAAGAAGTACACTAACTGAAAACCAAATAAAATGTCGGCATTTTCCCCAAGAAATCCTGGAAACTGTACATTGGTGTTCGACCAGGCAGAGTTCGACCTGTAGGCGATGGATGGATGGATGGATGGATGGATGGATGGATGGATGGATGGATGGATGGAGAAAAACATGCTTTTCCGGTGATTCCCTGGAAAATGAGAGGAGACAACCAGTGTTCCCTCTAAGCTGAGTGAGTGTGAGTTAGCTCACAGTTTTTTAGCCTCCAGCTCACACATTTTTGTGTCAGCTCAGGAAGGAGGGCTCCAGAGCACACTAATTTATGCAGCAGCCAAATCGCTCGCTTGCAACTTTAATGCCAGTAGCTCACAAAGCAGAATTTTTGCTCACGAGACTCCACAGCTTGGAGGGAGCATTGGAGGCAACTGCCCACCCAACGTTGGCTCTAAGTTTAAATGCCTGGTCATTCGGATCCCTAGTCTGTCCCTTACAGGCCTGCTGTACAATTTAGCTGGAGATGGACGGGGTGTGCGTTGAACGCCTCATTTGAGTTCTACTTACACACAACTAAATTACTTCGCATAATTGGCATCTACAATCGGGCACCAGGGATGGAGGATATCCCGCTTCAACTCCCGATCAGCTGTGAAACTCACTGGGTGACTCCAGACTTTTCTCTCTCCGCCTAACCTACCCCATCGGGTTGTTGTGAGCCTGAAACAGAGGTGGGGGAAACCACGTATATCTCCCTGAGCTCCCCAGAGGAGGGGGGGGGGGAGTGTGATAATAAAATATCAGGGTTTTCACAATTTGTAATGTTCCAGTCAAAGATGGAGAAGCTCTATCCAGTCAGTAAAAACAAGACCTGGAGCTGACTGTGGTTCAGATCATGAGCTACTCATTGCAAAATTCAGACTTAAACTGAAGAAAATTGGGAAAACCACGAGGCCATTCAGGTTTGACCTAGATCGCATCCCTGATGAATATACAATAGAGGTGAAGAATAGATTCAAGGGTCTGGATCTGATAGAAGGGAGCCCTCACTGGAGAAGACCCTGATGCTGGGAAAGATTGAAGGTCAAAGAAGACAGGGACGGCAAAGGATGAGATGGTTAGACAGTGTCATCGATGCAATGAACATGAAGTTGAGCAAACTTCAGAGGATGGCGGAAGACCGGAAGGCCTGGCGGGAGCTGGTCCATGGGGTCGCAAAGAGTCGAACTCGACTATGCGACTGAACAACAACAACAAATGTTACTTAAGGCTGAGCGCCGAAGAATAGATTCTTTTGAACTATGGTGCTGGAGAAGACTCTTGAGAGTCCCTTGGACTGCAAGAAGATCCAATCAGTCAATCCTAAAAGAAATCAACCCTGACTGTTCCCTGGAAGGCCAGATAATGAAACTGAAGCTCAAATACTTTGGCCACCAAATGAGAAGGGAGCACTCCCTGGAGAAGACCCTGATGCTGGGAAAGATTGAAGGTCAAAGAAGACGGGGACGGCAAAGGATGAGATGGTTAGACAGTGTCGTAGATGCAATGAACATGAAATTGAGCAAACTTCAGAGGATGGCGGAGGACAGGAGGGCCTGGCGGGAGCTGGTCCATGGGGTCGCGAAGAGTCGGACTCGACTCTGTGACTGAACAACAAATGTTACTTGCTGCATCATGGCTCTGTCACTGAGGGTGGGGGGAATGTGAGATGCTATCCCCCGCATTACCAGAGGAGAAGGTGGGCCCCCTCCTTCACCCCCTACCCTCATGAAGACGGAGAGGCTTGGCTCGCCTCCGGCCATCAGTGGCTTAGGAGACCATGGGCAGGAAGCCCACCGTTCTCTCCCAAACTGCACGGTGGCCAGCAGCGGTGCCCAGTGGGTAGAGTACGTTTAGAAGTCAGCTCATAAAAGTTTGAGAACCTGTGATGTCACATGCCGTATGCAACACCTTAAAGGTCTCCCTTGCTCGAAAGCTAGCTGAATCGGACCGTAGGGGGTGGTGCTCATCTCCGTTTCCAACCCGAAGAGCCAGCGCTGTCCGAAGACGTTTCCGTGGTCATGTGGCCGGCGTGACTAAACGGCAAGGCCCATGGAACGCTGTTCCCTTCCCACCGAAGCGGTACCTATTTATCTACTTGCAATTTCTTGCTTTCGAACGGCTAGGTTGGCGGGAGCCGGGGCCAGAGACGAGAGCTCACTCCGTCATGCGGCACTTGGGTCTCGAACTGCCGGACTACAGACCTCCTGCTCTGCAGCTCAGCGTCTTAACCTCTGAGCCACCGCAGCCCCATGCAACAGATTAGACCAATATAAAGACAGATCAAGACAGGTCGCCGTGTTCGTCTGCCTGTAGCAGGAGAAAAGAGCAAGAGTCCAGTGGCACCGTAAAGGCTAACCAAATTTGTGGCAGGGGAGGAGCTTTCGTGAGTCACGGCTCGCTTCTGAAGAAATGCCACCCATTTTGTTAGTCTTTGAGGTGCTGCTGGTCTCTTTTCTACTGCTACAGACAGACGAACATGGCGACCCACCTTGAATTCTACTTACTTACACAAAGGACTTTATATGCGCCTTGGACTGCCTCCCGGGAGATTGTGCTAGCGTTAGAACTAGCAGCTTTTGGGAACTGAATTATCTCGTCCTCGCAAGCAGGTGTGGATGTCTGCGACTGTGGAATAACGTGGATCCACCTTCAGGTGGGCGGGGCATTCTAGTTCTTCAGAGAAATGGGGTCAGGGGCTTACACGTCCTGAGAAACAGGACAGGGGTTGGCTTGCAGAGGGCAGTGCCCAACTGGTTTCCTGCTGTCGCGTTTGGGGGTTGTTGTTTTTTTGGGGGGGGGATCCTCTTTCTAAGCCAGCCGCCGAGGAATGAGCTTGAGAATGCAGGGTGAGGGGAGAGCCGTCGCTCTGGTCTGGGCACGTCAGCCACCGGGGTGAAAATCCAGTTTGACAGATGATGAGGTCTCCCCCCCAGGGTGTACTCCCAGCGGAGTCCAAGTCATGCTCTGGGTGGAAGGCTGTGTTCTCTGTGTGTGTGCGCGTCATGGCTTTAGGGCCCCAGGGTGTTCGGCGTGCAGTGGGGATGACCCATGCCAGACCGATGCCCTTACTGGAACTGACGCAGGCCTGTGGCACTAATTACTAGCTCTTTGCCTCTTCTTCTTCTTCTTCAGTCTGGTGTAGTGATTAAGTGCACAGACTCTAATCTGGGAGAGCCGGGTTTGATTCCCCACTCCTCCAGTCGCAGCTACTGGATGACCTTGGGCAAGCCGTAGCTCTGATAACAGCAGTTCTTGAAAAAAGAGCAGTTCCTGTCAGAGCTCTCTCAGTCCCACCGACCTCACAGGCAATGTTCCCTCCAAGCTGTGGAGTCTTGTGAGCCAAAGTTCTGCTTTGTGAGCTACTGGCATTAAAGTTGTGAGCGAGCGATTTGGCTGCTGCAGAAATTAGTTTGCTCTGGAGCCCTCCTTCCTGAGCAAAGACAAAAATGTGTGAGCTGGAGGCTAAAAAACTGTGAGCTAGCTCACACTAACTCAGCTTAGAGGGAACACTGCTCACAGGGTGTCTGTTGTGGGGAGGGGAAGGGAAAGGAGTTTGTAAGCCACTCTGAGACACCCTTGGGTAGTGAATCCAATCTCTTGGTTGGTATGAATCCAGTCTCCTCCTCCTCCTCCTCCTCCTCTTCTTCTTCTTCTGAAGAAAACAAAATCACCTCCGGACTCCCCAATATTGGTTTATAAAAATGACCCAGGGAATTAAACAGCAGAGGCCTTTCTGGGCTCCGTGTGCCAAAGGGTACCGCCAAGCAGGGTTCTCTCTAAGCTGAGTGAGTGTGAGCCAGCTCAGTTTCTTAGCCTCCGGCTCACCACATCTCCCCCTTCATTCAGGAGGGGATGGCTCCAAAGCAAACTGATTGCCGCAGCAGCCAAACCACTCGTTTTGCGCACAAGACTCCGCAGCTCGGTGGGAGTATTGCCGCCAAGTCTAGCCCGTTTCCGCAGAAAGGTATAAGCCAAGCGCCCAGTCTTGAAACGAACCCCTTCTCCGGTGACCCCCAGTCGCCTCTGATGCTCTGTACCGTGCCTGGCACATCACTCGGCCCGCCCTGCTATGCCACCCTGGCCAAATTCCATCCATCCATCCCCACCGCCCTATTGGGAGACCGAGAAGGCCCAAAGAAGTGGTACTCACGTAGGTGTCGGGTTCTAGTGTCATCCTTGCCCGTCTTTTGTGCCAGAGAGGGGGAAAGGCTGGAGCGAGGGCAGAGACTGTGCTCGGAGGAAGGCCTGGCCCTTTTTGTAGCCGCGGTGCCAAGGGAGGCGGCTCTCCCCCGGGGGCACCCAGCGAGTGCCAGCGACGCCCACGCCCTGTGACTTCTCGCTCAGTCAGCCTTCCTCCCGTGTGAGAAGTCACAGCCCTGACCTGTGAGGTGGCGCTCCAGAGGGCAGCAATTTCTTTTGGTGGCGCCTGGAATTACCCTCCAGCGAGTCACGGGCCCCGGTTGGCTAAGAGAGAGGTGTGGGCACAATTTCCTTCCCCGCAGCTCAGGTAGCACGAAAGACAACTGGATTTCTGTTGGCGGAGGAACCTCGAACCACGGCCACCCGTCTGAGGCGAGCTGTACGCCGGTCCCTGGGAAAGAGAACCACCCACTGACGTTAAGAGGACTCCTCACATGACTCAGGCCGGGGTGCCCGATGGGGTTACCAACCTCCAGGTGGTGCCAGGGGATCTCTGGGCGATAGGGATCCGTTCCCCTGGAGAAAATGGCTGCTTTGGGAGGCGGAGTCTGTGGCACTGAAGTCCCTCCCATCAAACCCCGCCTTCCTCAGGCTCCACCCACAGAATCTCCAGGTACTTCCCAACCCAGAGCCGGCAACCTTAGTCCCTGGCCTATTTAGAAGTTTAAATCCGTGAATGGTGCCCTCATTCTGATGTCCATAGGTGTAAATGTATGCACCTGAAATGACCCACACAATGAAAGAGACTGCTTTTCCCACCCACACCTACATTTTGCGCTTCTTTTATTGCCGTCAAATCCAGTGTTCCCTCTAAGCTGAGTGAGTGTGAGGTAGCTCAGTTTTTTAGCCTCCGGCTCACACCTTTTTGTCTTAGCTCAGGGAGGAGGGCTCCAGAGCAAACTCATTGATGCGGTAGCCAAATTGCTTGCCCACAACTTTAATGCCGGCAGCTCACGAAGTAGAATCTTTGCTCACAGGGCTCCATAACTTACTGGAAGCATTGGTCAAATCCAGGGGTAATTTCCTGCAGGAGCGCACAGGAGCGGAGCTCCGGCAGTAAAGAGCCCAGTGGGTGGGGACATGCAACAAGCCCCACCCCCTGTTCCCAGCAACCCTCAGTCAGAGCAAGAGCAAGAAGCAGCCAGGTAAATTGCAGAGCCCCCCTCCCGCCTGCCCCCAGTCCAAACCAGTCCAGTGGCACCTTTAAGACCAAGTTTTATTCAGGTACAAGCTCTCCCTCCTCTGTGAGGGCAGATCTGCATGTCCCCCCCCCCATAGCTAGCAATCCAAAACAGTCCAGTGGCAGCTTTGTTCAGGTACTTTTTTTTCCCTCCTCGTGGAGGGCAGATCTGCACATGTCCCCCCCCCCAATAGCTAGCAATCCAAAACAGTCCAGTGGAGACTGAGCGGTGGTGCGCTGCTCCCTCTAAGCTGTGGGGTCTTGTGAGCAAAATTTCAACTTCGTGAGCTCCTGGCATTAAAGCTGTGAGGGACTGATTTGGCTGCTGCCTAAATCAGTTTGGTCTGGAGCCATCCTTCCTGAGCTAAGGCGAAAATGTGTGAGCCGGAGGCTGAAAAACTGTGAGCTAGCCTCACGCCGACTCAGCTTATAGGGAACACCGGTGAGGGGGTCTGGAGACCAAGTCCTGTGAGGAAAGGTTGAAGGAGCCGGGACAGTTTAGCCTGGAGAGGAGACGACGGAGAGGTGATAGGATCACCATCTTGAAGTACTTGAAGGGCTGTCCTGTAGAGGATGGTGTGGAGTTGTTTTCTGTTGCCCCAGAAGGTTGGACCAGAACCAACGGGTTGAAATCAAATCAGAAGAGTTTTTGGCTAAACGTTAGGAAGAACTTCCTGACAGAGCGGTTTACAGGCTTCCCCGGGAGGTGGTGGTTGGCTCTCCTTCTTTGGAGGTTTTCAAGCAGAGGGTAGATGACCCTCTGACAGCAGTGCCGATTCCGTGAACTTAGGGAGATCATGAGAGGGAAGACAGGAAGGGTTGGCTCAGTGCTTAGTTCTCGTGGCCCTTTCTTACACGCACAGGGAAAAGCTGATCGCCACTTTGGGGTCAGGAAGCCATTGTTCTCCAGGCCAGTTTTGGCCAGGGATCCTGGAGGGGGGTTTTTTGGTCATCTTCTGGCCATGGATCAGTGGTCACTGTGTGTGTGGGGGGGGGGGAAGTATTCGTGAATTTCCTGCATTGTGCCGGGGGTTGGACTAGATGACCCTGGAGGTCCCTTCCAACTCTGATTCTATGATTCTAAAAGAATGAACACGCTTGGATTAGTGCAGCTCAGGCCATTTTGGGAAAAGCACAGTGCTGGGAGTGATCTTGTGTCGGGATCTGGTCTGGGATCTTTGGCGAGACAAGTGGGGTGTGAAAGAGAAGCAGCCAGGCCCTTCTGATCTCCAGCACCATAACCCACATTTTTTCCTAATCCCAAACCCTTGCAAAGGCTGAAGACAGTTCGCATTTGTATACAGAAGCACGACAGATGCTTTCTTCAGAATAAAATGCTTTACTGACACTGCCATGTATGCCATCCCCCCGCGGTGGCTCAAGTGGTTAAGACGCTGAACAGCAGGCTGGAAGGACTGTAGTTCGGCATTTCGAGACCCAAGTGCCGCATGACAGAGTGAGCTCCCCTCTCTGGCCCTGGCTCCTGCCAACCTGACAGTTCAAAAGCAAGAAATTGCAGGCAGATAAATAGGTACCACTTTGGTGGGAAGGTAACACCGTTCTGTGCACCTCGGCGTTTAGTCATGCCGGCCACATGACCACGGAAACGTCTTCGGACAGCGCTGGCTCTTCGGCTTTGAAACGGAGATGAGCACCGCATCCCTAGAGTTGGATTCGACTGGTTTTCGAGCAAGGGAAACCTTTACCTTACCTCCCATCAGGGCCAGAGGTGTGTGTCTCTGCCTCCTGGCCCCTTCTCAGCTCAGTACTGGACATAAGAGAGGACCACATCCCCATTAATGTCCAGGGTGTTGTTTTCCTGGAAGTTGTGGAAACGGTGTGAATAGTTAAAGAGCGGCTAGCCATTGGCAAAGACCTTGAAGCGCACTTTCCCGCAGCAGGTGGAGAGCTGTTCCGGGCAAGAAAAGACCCAGGAGAGGAGGAAAATCAGAAGCAGGGTATTGGGGCATGAAACTCGGATCAGTTTCAGCATCGCTCCTCCTGGGCAGGGGGCCATCAAGTTTGCTAGCCGTAGGGCAGTGAAATGAGACCACTTGCATATAAGGACAGGAGAGGGGGACAGAACTCCTAGCCACCCAGGAAGATGTGACTTCATTATTTAAAAACGTAAACCAAAAATAGTATCCTACCAAAACAGTTGGATGCAAACTGAGCATCCATCTTGGACATCGAGGGCAGGGCAGCATCAATTAAAATGTGGCAGCGTTCCGTGCGCCTTGGTGTTTAGTCATGCCGGCCACATGACCACGGAAACGTCTTCGGACAGCGCTGGCTCTTCGGCTTTGAAACGGAGATGAGCACCGCAAACCTAGAGTCGGACTCGACTGGCTTTCGAGGAAGGGAACCTTTACCTTTACCTTTTTTAGGAAGCCGAAGGAGAACAACTCAGGTCACAGAGGATTCGGGATGGACTGATTTGGGTCAGGGATTTGGGGGGGGGGTTAAGGGGACAGGGATTGTATTCAGCCCATACAAAACAAATTGTTCTGGCCTGACAATTTACAATCCCATTCTCTTTTATGTGCCACAAAGACTGAGGACCGGAGGTTCCCTAAAACTACCCAGATGGAGAAAAGAAATTGAGTAACCAAAGTCCATACTACCCACAATGCAAATCTGCTGCCTAAGCATTTGCTATTCCCCCAGAGTGAACAGGAGGGGGTGGCCCCTCTCCCCTTGGGGAGAAGCAATCCTGGACCTGCATAGACATGTGGCATTAAAAAATCAGGTCAAGAAAACCAAATTTTGAAACCTGCAGCAACTCTATATTTCTAGGTAGAGGTAAAGGTTCCCTTGTTCGAAAGCCAGTCGAATCTGACTCTAGGGTTGCGGTGCTCATCTCCGTTTCGAAGCCGAAGAGCCAGCGCTGTCCGAAGACATTTCCGTGGTCATGTTGCCGGCATGACTAAACACCAAGGCACACGGAACACTGTTTTTTCTAGATGGGGCTTAATTCTGCTAGCCATTTAGGAGGGCTCTGTGTTGATAAAGCCCAGTCGCCAACCCAGAATTCTGGTTTGCCCCAATTCCCCTTAGAACTGGCCCACACACTTTCAAACCTTACCGCAACCATCAGCTTAGAAGTTTAACTCTGTTTAATCATGAATATTAAGGTAACCAGGATGATGATTTCTGTTCCCTAAATTTAAAACTTCCATGTTTACTCAGTGCCATTATGACACACACATATCCACACACATGATTTCTGCTGAAAATTGTTGTGTAAGCAACTCACAGTACTCCAAAAATGAATTTCGTCAGTGCCAGAATTTGGAAATTTTGTGGCCACTCACTCTAATCCTCTTGGTTAAAGAGGGGACCAGGGAGGCAATTCTGATATTTTCCAGCAGAGGGCAGCAGCAAGCCACACTCTCATTCCCTCCCTCTGCTAAAAAAAGCCCAGAGAGGCAATTCTGATATTTTCCAGCAGAGGGCAGCAACAAGCTGCACTCACATTCCCTCCCTCTGCTAAAAAAAGCCCAGAGAGGCAATTCTGATATTTTCCAGCAGAGGGCAGCAACAAGCTGCACTCACATTCCCTCCCTCTGCTAAAAAAAGCCCAGAGAGGCAACTCTGATATTTTCCAGCAGAGGGCAGCAACAAGCTGCACTCTCATTCCCTCCCTCTGCTGCAGAGGGCAGCAACAAGCTGCACTCTCATTCCCTCCCTCTGCTAAAAAAAGCCCAGAGAGGCAACTCTGATATTTTCCAGCAGAGGGCAGCAACAAGCTGCACTCTCATTCCCTTCCTCTGCTAAAAAAAAGCCCAGAGAGGCAACTCTGATATTTTCCAGCAGAGGGCAGCAACAAGCTGCACTCTCATTCCCTTCCTCTGCTAAAAAAAAGCCCAGAGAGGCAACTCTGATATTTTCCAGCAGAGGGCAGCAACAAGCTGCACTCTCATTCCCTTCCTCTGCTAAAAAAAAGCCCAGAGAGGCAACTCTGATATTTTCCAGCAGAGGGCAGCAACAAGCTGCACTCTCATTCCCTTCCTCTGCTAAAAAAAAGCCCAGAGAGGCAACTCTGATATTTTCCAGCAGAGGGCAGCAACAAGCTGCACTCTCATTCCCTTCCTCTGCTAAAAAAAAGCCCAGAGAGGCAACTCTGATATTTTCCAGCAGAGGGCAGCAACAAGCTGCACTCTCATTCCCTTCCTCTGCTAAAAAAAAGCCCAGAGAGGCAACTCTGATATTTTCCAGCAGAGGGCAGCAACAAGCTGCACTCACATTCCCTTCCTCTGCTAAAAAAAAAGCCCACAGAGGCAATTCTGATATTTTCCAGCAGAGGGCAGCAACAAGCTGCACTCTCATTCCCTCCCTCTGCTAAAAAAAAGCCCAGAGAGGCAACTCTGATATTTTCCAGCAGAGGGCAGCAACAAGCTGCACTCACCTCCCCTCCCTCTGCTAAAAAAAAGCCCAGAGAGGCAACGCTGATATTGTCCAGCAGAGGGCAGCAACAAGTCGTATGCTCATTCCCTTCCTCTGCTAAACCCCACCACCACCAACACTCCCTCTAAGCTGTGGAGTCCTGTGAACAAAAATTCTGCTTTGTGAGCTACTGGCCTTAAAGTTGTGAGGGAGCGATTTGCCTACTACATAACTTAGTTTGCTCTGGAGCCCTCCTTCCTGAGCGGGGACAAAAATCTGTGAGCTGAAGGCTAAAAAACTGCTCACACTAACTTACCTTAGAGGGAACACTGCCCACCACCTGCCAACATAGGAGTCTGTGGTGTAGTCTTGAAGTGGCTCACCTCATTTCTCCAAGGTCGGGGGCAGGTGGCGCTGGGGGAGGGGGTGTCAACCAGGTACCCACTGGTACGTCGGGTTCCTCGGGGGGCAATTCACTGTCCAATGTTGTTTAACATCTATATGCAGCCCCTTGCCCAATCAGTGCGGAGTTTCGGGCTGGGGTGTCACCGGTATGCTGAGGACACCCAGCTATATCTGTTGACGGGCGGCCAGCCGGATGCCTCCCTGGCAAATCTGGCTGAGAGGCCATAGGCCGTGGCGGGATGGTTGAAATAGAGCCGGCTGAGACTGAATCCTACTAAGATGGAGGTTCTTTGTCTGGGTGGGGGGGATTCAGGGTTGGGATGTCTACTCCCGGCTCTTGACGGTGCACCCTTAGCACCGGCACCAGTTGTCAGGAGCCTGGGTGCGATCCTGGATGCTTCATTATCAATGGAGGCCCTGGTCACAAATGTTGCCAGACTGCAGTTCTTCCAGCTACGCCAGGACAGGCAACTGGCAGGCCCGTAGCCAGGTTTTTGTGGCTTGTGGGGCAAATCTTTTTCTGGTGGGGATGAAGTTCTCAATCCAGAAAGAAAAGCCATTTAGCCAATAGAAAGTTTGTTACCAGGATAGATCTCTATATTGCAAGCGGTCAACCGCTTTAGACGACAGTTCTCAGCTGCTGCAAGTTAATCCCTTCTGCCGGCCTAAGCAACAGTTCTGAGAACAAGCCGGCAGGTGGGGAGGGATGACTTCTACAGTCAAGAAAGCTAGCCCTTAGGAGGCAGGAAAATTCTCTTAAAGGAGATCAGTTTCTTGCCACAGAGCTAGAAGGGATCCTAGAGGTCACCTACTCCAACCCCCTTGCTCAGTGCGGGAATTAGTCGACTACAGCGCCCCACTCTGCTTAAAGGAGCACACGTTGTAAAAAGAATGTTTAAAAGTGATTGCAAAAATCATTTACAGGAGAAATTATTTTGGGGCTGTGCCTTTAATAAAGGGGGTGGAGCCCTCAGAAGCCCCATTGTAGCTGCAGGCCACACGACTGGCCCCCCACCTGTCTCGCCCTGACCTGCCCATGATAATCCATGAAACGGTCACCCCCCAGACTAGACTACTGTAACTCGCTCTATGTAGGGCTACCCTTGAGACTGCTTCTCCATAGCTACAGAGGGAAGATGCGGTCCCAGCCTGCTTTCCCGCTCTCGCTGACTCGCCCCATTTCCCTGTTGTGGTGTGTGTCTAGTTCCTTGGGCTTTTTAAAGAGTTCGTTGCTGTCCCTGTGGTCCCTTGGGGTCCACTTCCCTCCCCAGATCAGATCCCTGAATGGGGAATGAGTGTTCCTCTGCTCTGATATCCACGTCCATAAATGTCCACACATGAACAGTCGGGAACCACACTGCGGAGCCCGCCTTTCCGCACACCGCAGATACATTTTGCTTTATCCAAAAGGAAAATTCTGTGTTCTTTTAGCTGAAAGAATAAATACCCTTGGGTTTTAACCAAGTATAGGTCAGGCACTTTTGGAATAAGAAGAGCCCTGCTGGATCAGACCAGGGGTCCACCTAGTCCAGCCTCCTGTCTCTCACAGGGGCCAACCAGTTGCTCTGGAGGGCCAACAACAGGGCAGAAAGGTTGAGGACGTCCCCTGATAAGAACATCAGAAGAGCCCTGCTGGATCAGACCAATAGTCCATCTAGCCCAGCGTCCTGTCTCATACAGTGGCCAGCCAGTTACCCTTGAAGTCCAGCAAGAAGGCATAAAGGCTGAGGCCTTCCCCTTAGGTTCCATTCTGGCTCTGGGATTCAGAAGCTTCGTGCCTCTGAAAGTGGAGGTTCCCCTCAGCCACCATGGCTGGTAGCCATTGATAGACATCCTACATGGATCTATCTATGACCCCTGGCTATATCTGATCTGCTGAACGGATAAAAGGAAGTCCTTCTTCACCCAAAGAGTGATTAACACATGGAATTCACTGCCACAGGAAGTGGTGGCGGCTACAAGCATGGACGGCTTCAAAAGGGAATTAGATAAGCATATGGAGCAGAGGTCCATCAGTGGCTATGAGCCAGAAGGTATAGATAGGGGCTCTGGGGCAAGTGATGCTCTGTCTTCTTGGTGCTTGGGGGGGCCAACAGTGGGAGGGCTTCTAATGTCCTGGCCCCACTGCTGGACCTCCTGATGGCACCTGGTATTTCTGGCCACTGTGTGAGACAGAGTGTTGGACTGGATGGGCCTTTGGCCTGATCCAACATTGGCATCTCTTATGTTCTTAATATGGAGCAGAGGTCCATCGGTGGCTCTCAGGCACAAGGCATAGATAGGAGCTCTCGGTCTGGGGCAAGGGATGCCCTGTATTCTTGGTGCTTGGGGGGGTCAACAGTGGGAGGGCTTCTAATGTCCTGGCCCCACTGGTGGACCTCCTGATGGCACTGGTATTTCTGGCCACTGTGTGACACAGAGTGTTGGACTGGATGGGCCTTTGGCCTGATCCAACATTGGCGTCTCTTATGTTCTTATCTAACCTCCTTTTAAAGCTGTTTATTCCTGTGGCCATCCCTACATCCTCTGGTAGCGAATTCCACATTTTAATCACTTAAGAACATCAGAAGAGCCCTGCTAGATCAGACCAGTGAAGGTCCATCTAGTCCAGCATCCTGTCTTACACGGTTCCTCTGGAGGGCCAACCACAGGACAGAGAGGCAGAGGCCTTCCCTTGATGTTGCCTCCTGGCTCTGGGATTCAGAGGCTCAGTGCCTCTGAATGTGGAGGTTCCCCTCAGCCAGCATGGCTAGTAGGCACAGATAGACTTGTCCTCCACGAATCTATCTAGTCTCTTTTTAAAGCTGTTTATTCCTGTGGCCATCCCTACATCCTCTGGCAACAAACTCCACATTTTAATCGCTGGGATGTGATATTGTGTGGGGATCAGGGCAGGGGTCTTTGGTGGGGCAACTGGAGGGTGAAAGGAACGACTAGGATTTCTCCAGGAATCAACCAGGGCCTTCTGTTGCCCAGCCCCGTAACCCACGTTTTTTCCTCACCCCCAAACCTCCGCAGAGGCTGAAGACGGTTCACATTTGTATACAAAAGCACGAGGGAGGCATTCTTCAAAATAAAATGCTTTACTGGCACTGCCATTTACGGTCTCATCCTCCCATCAGGGCCCCGGGGGAGGTGTCTCTGCCTCCGGTCCCCTTCTTCGCTCAGTACTGGATATAAGAGAGGACCACGTCGCCATCGATTTCCAGGTCGTTGATTTGCTGGAAGTTGCGGAAGCGGTGGGAATAGTTGAAGAGCGGCTGGCCGTTGGCAAAGACCTTGAAGCGCTCGTTCCCGCAGCGGATGGAGAGCTGTTCCGGGCAAGACAAGACCAGGAGAGGAGGGAAAATCAGAAGCAGGAAACGGGCCTGCAAAACCTGGATCCATTTTAGCATCACTCCCCTCAGAACAGACAATTCAGTTTGCTAGCTATAGGACGGAGAAACGGGGCTACCCACAGATAAGGCAAAGGTTTTTGTATACTTGGGGCCCTCCCCAGCCTTGCAGACTTCATTATTTTTTTCCAAAAAGAATAACACAGCATAAAAAGAATGGGTGAGGAAAACCAGATCTTGCCATTTACAGCAATAAAGCTAATCCGTATTCCTCGACATGGTTTCCTCCTAGATCCCCTCTTAAATTTTGCTATCAGTTGAGAAGGGCAAAGCTACGTCTCGCCAGCCTCTAAACTTCCATTCAGCTCAATTCTCCTTAGAAATTGCCTTACATACTTTACATACATTCTTAAAAGCTATCTTCAAAGCCTAGCAAAGTTTGAGTCCAGCGGCACCTTTAAGACCAACAAAACTTTATTCAGGGTATACATTTTTGGGAGACGTGTACATGCACACGGACGCTTATACCCAGAATAAAACTTTATCGAGCTTCAAGGTGCCCCCACTGGACTCAACCTTTGTTCCGCTGTTTCAAACCAACACGGTGACCTCACCTGGATCTATCTTCAAAGCCATGAGGCTTAGAAACTTGACCCCCAAATGATCAGAAGGCTGAAGTCTGTTCCCTGAATTTAAAACTTCCCACATTTACTCAATACAGTTATGAAACACATGCATCTGTAAACACGATCTCAGTGGCATTCTTGTGTAAGCGACACACAGTATTCCAGAGATGAATGTGGAATTTTTGTGGCCAGTAAAAAGGTAAAGGTAAAGGTTCCCTTGCTCGAAAGCCAGTCGAATCCGACTCTAGGGTTGCGGTGCTCATCTCCGTTTCAAAGCCGAAGAGCCAGCGCTGTCCGAAGACGTTTCCGTGGTCATGTGGCCGGCATGACTAAACACCAAGGCGCACGGAACGCTGTTACCTTCCCACCGAAGTGGTACCTATTTATCTACTTGCAATTTCTTGCTTTCGAACTGCTAGGTTGGCAGGAGCTGGAACTAGAGACAGGAGCTCACCCTGTCTTGCGGCACCCGGGTCTTGAACCGCTGAACTACTGACCTTCCACAGCCTGCAGTTCAGCGTCTTAACCACTTGAGCCACCGCAGCTCCATTTTGTGGCCAGTACTCTTGGTTAAAAAGAAGCCCAGAGAGGCAATTCTGATCCTTTCCAGCAGAGGGCAGCAGCAAGCTGGACTATGTTTCCCTCCCTTGGCTAAAAAGCCACCCAGAGGCAATTCTGATCCTTTCCAGCAGAGGGCAGCAGCAAGCTGCACTATGTTTCCCTCCCTTAGCTAAAAAGGCACCCAGAGAGGCAATTCTGATCCTTTCCAGCAGAGGGCAGCAGCTCTTAATACCTCCCCCCCAATTACTGGATTAGAACTCATCTCCTGGGATAATACTCACATCAAAGTATTGTCCAGTCTGAAAGGGGTTGAAAGACAGCTCTCGCTCTTCACGGCCCCAGGACCCATTCAAGAAGCTGTTCCGCACCACAACCCGCTCGTTCAAGCGGGGGTTAATGTGTAGGATTATATCATTGCCGGCTTTAAAATTGATCCGGAAGCTGGGGGAGGGAAGAGCATTAAAAGGCATGAGAAGATCCCCACTGGATTCAACCTAAAATTCTTTCTGATTTAATGACCTCCTTCTGACAGATGAGAGCTCTCCAGCAGGAAGGCAAGAGCCCCGCCTGATTTTGGTTTTCAGAGGTAGCCTGCACGTGCACATGGAGGTTTAATTTAGCTAGCATGGACTATGGCTGGCAGGAGGCCGATTGCTCTCAAAAGCTGATTAATGATTTCTTGTGGCACTGGCTGTGACTTGAACCCAGACCTCTAGGCCTTCTTGTTTCCTGTTCTGAAAGGAAAGCTCATTAGCATAACTCATTAGAATAACTTATTTGCATATGCCACGCCCCCTGACATCACCAGAAGTGTGTCAGAAGGCAACACCCACCGCTCAGGCTCTACTGGACTGTTTTGGATTGCTAGCTATTGGGGGGGGGGGTGAAAGTGCAGATCTGTCCTCACAGAGGAGGGAGAGCTTGTTCCTGAATAAAACTTGGTCTTAAAGGTGCCACTGGACTGTTTTGGGCTGGGGGGTGGGGGGGCTCTGCAACTTACCTGGCTGCTTCTTGCTCTGTCTGTGGGCTGCTGGGAGCAGGGGGTGGGGCTTGTTGCATGTGCCTGCCCCCTGGGCTCTTTACTGCCAGAGCTCTGCTCCTGTGCGCTCCTGCAGGAAATGACCCCTGGCTATATCTAATCTGGTAAACACTGATATATGTCTGCAAGCCACAGAAGGAAAGCAGTTGAATTGCCTGATTGTGCAAGGAGATTGGCACCTAATGTTTAATCTGGGTTCCCATCTCTTGGCTGGGAAATATCTGGAGATTTGGGGGGTGGGGCTTGGAAAGGGCGGGGGTTTGGGGAGGGGAGGGGAAGGGCCTCAGCAGGGTACAAGGCCACAGAGTCCACCCTCCAAAGCAGCCGTTTTCTCCAGGGGAACTGGTCTCTGTCGTTTGGAGATCACAAATACAAAGAAGAGGTCTCCAGGTCCCACCTGGAGACTGGCAACCCTGTTGAGTCATTCACTGCTTGGCAGATGCAAAGATCAGTTATAGATGCAAAAGTCTAAACACACCTATTCAGAAGCCCCCCTTTAATAGGAACAACCAAGATACCAAGCAAGCTGAGCAGAACCTCCACATTCAGAGGCACTAATCCTCTGAATCCTGGAGCCAGAAGGCAACATTAGGGGAAGGCCTCGGCCTCTCTCCACCCTGTTGGTGGCCCTCCAGGGGAACTGGTTGGCCCCTGTGTGAGACGGGATGCTGGACTAGGTGGACCACTGGTCCGATCCAGCAGGGCTCTTCTCAAGTTCTTAGGAGGGCCTCAGCCTCTCTGCCCTGTTGTTGGCCCTCCAGAGGAACTGGCTGGCCACTGTGTGAGACAGGATGCTGGACTAGATGGGCCCTCACTGGTCTGATCCAGCAGGGCTCTTCTGATGTTCTTATGACGTTCAGACCCAAGCGTGGCACGTACCCTTTAGCATCTTGCGGAACAAATCCTCGTATCACCACGGTCCTCTTCGAGCCCAGTCCTCCGGAGAAGTTACCTCTATAGGGCACTTGCTGAAACAAAATTTCATTGTACAAAAATTACCCTTAGAAATCAAGGGAGGAAAGAAAGGACTTCCGACACTCCCTTCACCCAAAACTTCAAAGCGACGGCCCGTGTGGCACAGTGAATAAGAGCGTCAGACTAGTATCTGGGAGACCTGGGTTCGAATCTCCACTCACACTCTCTCAGCCCTAATGTCGGTTTTGCCAACACCCTGGAGATCTCCTGGAATTACAACCGGTCTCCAGACCACAGAAATCAGTTCCCTTGGAGGAAATGGCTGCTTTGGAGGGTGGATTCTATGATATTATAGAAGAAGAAGGTGAGTTGTTTTTTATACCCGGCCCTTCACTACCCGAAGGAGTCTCAGATCGAATCTGCATTTGCATTTTTTAATCAGTTTTGTGCTGCTGTGACACCGTCTTTCTTTGTGCTTGTTTGAATGTTGTTTGGAGAAGATTCTTTTGAAGCAGTGTGGAGGTGCAATGACAGTGGAGCCCCCCAAAGGACGATAAACATATGTGGACGTGCAAAAGTATGCTAGCACTGTTGAGGTGTGAAAACGACACCCCACGTAGACAGCTTTTTTGAAGACGGAGTCAAAAGGCTGGGACACCGGTGGGGAAGAAAAATGCAGATTCGCCCTCAGCGTGGCTGACAATCTCCTTTCCCTTCCCCTCCCCACAACAGTGATAGCCAACAATTATAACCATGCCGGGGTCGCTGTCCGTTTCTTCTGACTTCTTGAGGCCGCTGTTTCAATAGTGGAGCCCCAAAAACTCTAGAAGTTCATTCTGACTCTGCAGTCCGTCTTGCCCAGCAAGAGAACCGAAGTGAAGCAAGAAACGGCGGCCTGAAGAAGTCAGAGGAAACGGACGGCAGCCTAGGCGGTCCGTAGCCACTTCATTTGCGACTGTGTTTAGAGACAGAGAGGAAGTGGCTGAGAACTTCTGCAAAGAAGGACCGTAAAAGAAAATACTAATTCATTTTAAGGACACTGCCTGGAAGTTGGCACGCAGTGCTCCCTCTAAGCTGAGTCAGCGCGAGCCAGCTCACAGTTTCTTAGCCTCCGGCTCACACATTTTTGTCTTCCCTCAGGAAGGGATGGCTTCAGAGCAAACTGATTTAGGCAGCAGCCCAATCGCCCGCTCACAACTTTAAGGCCAGTAGCTCACAAAGTAGAATTTTTGCTCACAGGACCCCACAGCTTAGAGGGAACATTGGTTCGCAAACCTAGATTTGGGGGTGGAAGGCAGCCCTTTCTCTCCTCCGAATAACAAACTCTGATGAAGCTGAGACGGTTTGCAGAGATCACTTTCCCATATCACGAAATAGTCACAAATCTTATTCCACCTGTCTCTAATCCTGAATGAGGCTATTTTTGGGCCGGAACGCACAGGAACGGAGTTCCGGCTGGCTTCCAAGTTGGCCACGCCCAGCAGGGACTCATTAGCATAACAGGCCACACCCAACAGCAGGAACTCATTAGGATTGGCTACATTAGGGATCTGTGGCCTAACATGCAAAGGAATTCCTGCTACAAAAAAAGCCCTGGGTTTTGACAACAAACAAGGTAAACAGAATAACAAGCAAAAGGTGGGTGTGGCTGGATGACCACACTTCTGGTAACATGGGGGTGCGGCCTAATGTGCTAATGAGCTGAGCTGTCAGGGGTGTGGCCTACTATGCTAATGAGTTTCTGTTGTTGGGTGTGGCCTATTATGCTAATGAGTTCCTGCTGGGCTTTTTCTACCAAAAAAAGCCCTGCAGGATGATATAACGCTAGGGTGCATTACTGGGTACCTCGGATGGGGGTGAAGAGGGGCTATTCTCGCAGTGTCTCAGCAGCTCGTCAAAAAAAGGGGTATTTTTGAGAAGCCGCAACTTTTGCGGGGATGCTAAAGCGCCAGCCCTTCTCATCTTCACACCCATAGCCAGCTTTTTGCGCTTAGCCATTTCACATCTTCCCGGTCATGCTGTGAGCATCTCTGCGTCACTCCATGGCTGAGTCCTCCAAGACGAAAGGGAATTTTAAGGGATAACGGGGGAGTGCAAAGGAGGTAACAGCCAGGCAATCTTAGCTGGAGTGAGCGAACCAGCATGCCTGGACATCGGGGGGCGCTACATCACTCTTAAGGGTGTATAGGTGTTATCTCCTTGAATGGGAGGCCTCTCTTTGTCTTGACCTGGGAGCTGCCCTCTGCCCTCTCCTCTCTCTCCCTTTGTCCTCTCCCTCGCTGCCCATGGCCTTCCATGGAGACACATGTCTCTGCCGGTCTCTCCTGTGGATACCATGCCCTCATACTTCCACACACAAGATGCCGTGCTAGCTGGCCACTTGCGACAGGGAAAGTCCTCTTTAGATAGGCTTCCCTCTCTCTCTCCTTTCGACGGCAACCTGGACGTGAACTGGATCTGATGGAATGAATGTAAGTGTCCCCTTTTTGCAATACACTTTGTGGGAGATTTGTTTACTGCACTCAGGATCCACTCCTATGACTGGGCGAAACTCTGCCATATTAACTGAATATTCCAATAACCATTACCATCTTTACTCACCGGATTGTAGGAAGCCGGAGCCATCATCATCTGTAAGGAGAGGGGGGAAGAAAAAACAAAACCGTGGTTAGCCAGGCCAAGTCCCGGAACCCGCTTTGGAAACCTGACACGCACACCCTTGATTCTGGGGGGTAAAGAGCGAATCTAGGCCTCTCTGGCCACTTTGGTGCACTGGTTAAGTGTGTGGACTCTAATCTGGGAGAACCGGGTTTGATTCCCCACTCCTCCACTTGCACCTGGCTGGATGACCTTGGGCAAGCCGTAGTTCTGATAAGAGCTGTCCTTGAAAAAGAGCAGTTTCTGTCAGAGTTCTCTCAGCCCCACCCACCTCACAGGGTGTCTGTTGTGGGGAGGGGAAGGGAAAGGAGTTTGTCAGTCGCTCTGAGACTCCAAGTGAAGGGCCATTGGGTATAAATCCAATCTCTTTTCTTCTTCTTCTTCTTACATTCCTGCTAGGCTGGGAATAATCGAACGCTGACCCCACAGGATCCGACCAGCTGCAGAGCAGGAAACTAAATACCGTGTGCCAGCCCTGGACCCCAGAGGCCAGGTGTGGGGAGACCGCCCGAGATCCGCAAGCAGAGCAATTGGGATCTTTGGAGGAAATGCTGCCCAGGAGGGACTCAAACTCAGACCCCAATCTACTGGCCACGGTGCCACACCGAGGCAAGCTAGGAAAAGATTGGGTGGGAATTCGTTCAAGCCGATTCCAAGGCTGCGTGCGTTAACCTTTTAACGATTACCAGCACTTTATTATGGTTTTAGAATTGTTTTAATCGTAATCTATGCTTTTAATGTAATTATCTGTTTTATGTAAGCCGCCCTGAGCCGGCTTAGGCTGGGACGGCAGGGTAAAAATTCAAATAAATTCAAATAAATAAACTTGATCCGTCTGTGGATTTAATCGGGGCGCTGCTAATGGCCCTACGAGAACGTACCTTGTAGCAGTGAATGATTCTTACCCATCAGAAGCGAGAGAGAGAATGAACGCCTACACTGATGCATGCGGGACTTGTATTAAAACACCCGTACACACACACCACAGGCCACGCTCCACAGGGATTGGATAGAAGCGTGTGAATAATCTGCCTTGTAAAAGACATCCCGGAGGTAGCTGCCGGATTTCGTTGGGAGTGGGAGACAAGAAATAGCCAGTCTCAAACCGCCGTTCCACCCCAGAGGTGGGTCGCGCTTCACCACTGGGTGAAGACTGTCTGCTAACAAACTCACCCCCCACCTCCTTTCCCATCTTTAGTCTGCATACTTACCGGAAGGTTTGGATAGTTGGGATTCGGCATCATACCCTAAGAAACAGAAGAGCAGCTCTCATGAATCGGGGGCCCAATGGGAACCTCTTTCGCAGGACAGATTCAGAAGCGGAACTAAGTCGCAGGCCTGGATTGGCCATCCGACATGGCCACTGCTCCCCAGAAGCAGCTGCAGTTCCCCACCGGATGAAGTTCTAGCAGGGACTGTGGCTCAGTGGCAGAGCCCCTTGCTTGGTGTGCAGAAGGTCCCCGGTTCAATCCCCGGCATCCCCAGTTAAAAAGGGCCAGGCAGTAGGAGGTGTGAAAATTCTCTGCCTGAGACCCTGGAGAGCCACTGCCAGTCTGAGTAGACATGGACCAAGAGTCTGATTCAGGTGTTCACGGGAGGGTCCATAGCTCAGTGGTAGAGCCTCTGCTTGGCATGCAGAAGGTCCCAGGTTCAATCCCCGGCATCTCCAGCTAAAAGGACCAGGCAGGAGGGGATGGGAAAGACCTCCGCCTGAGACCCTGGAGAGCCATGAAGTGGGTCTGTAGCTCAGTGGCAGAGCCTCTGCTTGGCATGCAGAAGGTCCCAGGTTCAATCCCCGGCATCTCCAGTTAAAAGGACCAGGCAGGAGGGGATGGGAAAGACCTCTGCCTGAGACCCTGGAGAGCCATGAAGTGGGTCTGTAGCTCAGTGGCAGAGCCTCTGCTTGGCATGCAGAAGGTCCCAGGTTCAATCCCCGGCATCTCCAGTTAAAAGGGACCAGGCAGGAGGGGATCTGAAAGACCTCCGCCTGAGACCCTGGAGAGCCATGAAGTGGGGCTGTGGCTCAGTGGCAGAGCCTCTGCTTGGCATGCAGAAGGTCCCAGGTTCAACCCCCGGCATCTCCAGTTAAAAGGAAGTGATGGGAAGGGATGTGAAAGACCTCCGCCTGAGACCCTGGAGAGCCATGAAGTGGGGCTGTGGCTCAGTGGCAGAGCCTCTGCTTGGCATGCAGAAGGTCCCAGGTTCAACCCCCGGCATCTCCAGTTAAAAGGAAGTGATGGGAAAAGACATTCGCCTGAGATCCTGAAGAGTGGCTGCCAGTCAGAGTAGACGACTCTGATGGAGTGATGTTCTGATTCAGTTTACCGCAGCTTCATGCGTTCATCTGAGCCATTCAGCCTGCTGGAATATTTACAACCTTCTGAGTCAGTTCTCCCCCTCCGCTTATTGTGAGTCCTTATTAGCAGTGTTCCCTCTAAGCTGAGCTAGCACACCGTTTTTTTTAGCCTCCGGCTCACACATTTTTGCCTTCGCTCGGGGAGGAGGGCTCCCGAGCAAACGAGTTTACGCGGCAGCCAGATCGCCCGCTCACAACTTTAATGCCAGCAGCTCACAAGGTAGAGTTTGTGCTCACAAGACCCCACAGCTTAGAGGGAGCACTGCTTACTAGGGTTGCCAGCCTCCAGGCGGGGCCTGGGGATCTCCCGCTTTGACCACCGATCTCCAGCTGACAGAGATCAGCTCCCCTGGAGAAAAGGGCTGTTTTGCAGGGTGGACTCTATGGCCTTGGGCCATGCCGAGGCTCCTCCCCTCCTCAAACCCCGCCCTCTCTTGGCCCCACCCCCCAAGTCTCCAGGTATTTCCCAACCCAAACCTGGCAACCCTAGTACTCACAGGGTAGTTTCCAGGGGGGCATCCGGGATTTGGCATCATGCCCTAAAACGAAGAGTGAGAGCAAAAGCTTGAACCGGGTAGCGCTTTTGCATCCAGGCTGTGGCTCGGAGGGTGAAGCCAGGGCTATTTTTGGGCAGGAACGCACAGGAACGGAGTTCCGGTTGGCTCCTGAGTTGGCCACGCCCAGCAGGAACTCATTAGCATAATAGGCCACACCCAACATCAGAAACTCATTAGGACTGGCTTCATTAGGGGTGTGTGGCCTAACATGCAAAGAAGTTCCTGCTAAAAAAAAAAGCCCAGGGTTTTGACGACAAAGTAAACAGAATAAGAAGCAAAAGGTGGGTGTGGCTGGATGACCACACTTCTGGTAACATGGGGGTGTGGCCTCATATGCTAATGAGTTTCTGCTGTTGGGTGTGGCCTATTATGCTAATGAGTTCCTGCTGGGCTTTTTCTACAAAAAAAGCCCTGGGTGAAGCAATTCTTAATGGTGCCCCCCCCCCTTCCCGGGGGAGGTGATCTATACATTTGAGGCCCGTTCACAACTGTGGTTCAAAAAGGACGTATTTGGGCGTTTAGGATGCCCCTTCTTGGTTTGTGCTGGCTTTCGACTGCCTTTCTTGGGGCCGGTGCTCCCTCTAAGCTGTGGAGTCTTGTGAGCAAAAATTCTCCTTTCTGAGCTACGGGCATTAAAGCTGTGAGCGGGCCATTTGGCTGCTGCATCAATGAGTTTGCTCTGGAGCCCTCCTTCCTGAGCCAAGACAAAAATGTGTGAGCCAGAGGCTAAAAAAACGTGAGCTGGCTCACACTAACTCAGCTTAGAGGGAACACTGGTCGGGGGCGCTATTGCGCCCCTTTCCTTGAGGACAGATCCCCGATTTGTGAGCTACGGGCATTAAAGTTGTGAGTGAGCGATGTGGCTGCTGCATCAATTAGTTTGCTCTGGAGCTATCCTTCCTGAGCAAAGGCAAAAATGTGTGAGCCGGAGGCTAAAAAACTGTGAGCCGGACCACGCTGACGCAGCTTAGAAGGAACACTGCAGCCATCACCACCCAATAAATAGGGGGATTTGGTCATTGTGGGGTATATATGCCGCCCTTGTTTAGAGAAGGGGATCTGCTTTGGGTCTTAACACACACACAGAAGAACCGAAACGAAGCACCGTCCCCGTGGCTCACAGGCTAAGCGCTTGCTTTGGAGACGGAGGGTCTCGGGTTCGGCTCCCGGCCTCTCAACGTGAGCCACAGGGCTCAGTCCCCATATCAAACCCCAGCCCTCTAAGCACCCCGTTAAGTCGTGGCACTCACCGGCATTCCCATCGGAGGGCAAGGCTGCGCTGGCATTCCCTGCACAGAGACAAACAGAGGGTTAAATCCACCGGGACGGCCCGGCCTGGGTCGACCGAAGCGGCCTAGAACTGGAATGCAAGAAACCCATTTCCCGTACGCCCCGGCAGAAGGACCCGAATTCTTTTAGGAAACGCAAACCGGGCAGGGAGGGCTTGAGGCCGAGCGTCCTTCCTGACCTCCAAGGCCAGCAGAGAAGCCCCAGTTTCTTCCGGGTCGTGAGCAAATGCCACAGCCTGGCCCGGGGCGAGCTGTCAGCCCCTGTCGTCCACGGGAGAGACCTGCTTCCCCAGGCGGGATGACTCACCCCGCCGCCCATCATGCCCCCTCCGAGGACGGTCAGCGACTGCAGCTCCATGTCCCCATCCACGTTCACCTCCTGGATCCGGTCCACGGGGAGCCGGTGCTTGTACTCGCAGAAGGGATTCCTGTTCACCAGGACCTGGTAGGAGGCCAAAGGAGGAGAGCTCAGGTGAGGAGCCCTGTCACGGCTCAGGTGGGGCGTCACCTGACGCTGCCACCACTCTGGATTTAGGATCCCTTGAGAAGGCCCAGAGCACCCTCCCAAGACCTTCAGACCTCCCTTTTGGCCGAATAATAGGCGTGAGGACCCGGCAGAGTGAAACAAGGAAAAGGTTTATTTTATAGGAGGTCAAAAACAAGGTGTGGAATAGTAACGGTAAGTGGGTGAAAAGAAAAGAAATCAAATGCCCTAACGCGTCTAAATATATACTGACCCTAGCTCACTATCTCAAGTGGCCCTAGACTACTCAACCTTCCCTCAGAATGAGGGTCTCTCCCCTGCAGCAGACTTCCTTCCGGCTCTGCCCTCTGGGAAGAAGAACAGCTTCTGCTCTGGCACCAGCCCTTTTGTCCCCCCAGCCCTCTTCTTCCCTATTGGTCAATTTTGGCTCTAAAACCTCCCAGGGGCTTCTGGGAGTTGTAGGCCCAGCCTCACCTACTGCTAGCCAGGCTCCCTGGGCCTAGTAGGTAGGGCTCCCAAATCTCGCCAAATTGCGGCGGGGGATCCGCATGTCTTTGCAGAATCCGTGCCGAGGGGATGGCAAGACGCATTGCACCGGTGTCGCCAGGACATGACGCTATGCGTCACTCTAGCAACGGGGCTGTTTGGAGCCTTGTTGCCAGAGCGACGCGTAGCGTCATGTCCTGGCGACACCGGTGCAATGCGTCTTGCCATCCCCTCGGCACGGATTCTGCAAAGACACACGATCCCCCGCCGCGACTTGACAACCCTACTAGTAGGCCTCTGGTGGCACAGCCCAGATCATGACAAGCCCACGTTACCCACGAGGCCCAGGACGGGCAAGGACAGCCTCCCCTGCAGCCCAGCCGCCCCGAGAGAGCCGAGTCCTTCCTCTTCCCATTTTACAGACCGGGACGACTGAGGCCTGTACTCCGCTCCCTGTTTATCTGGTACACACGATTCCCACTTTCCTCTGGAGGGTCTCAGGGCCACATAGACAATTCTCTCTTTCCCCAGTTTATCCCCAACACAGCTCTGTCGGGCAGAGAGCCTGCAACGAGTCCCCCACTGCACGGGGTTGCCAACCTCCAGGTGGGGCCTGGGGAGACCTCCAGAACTTACAACTAATCCCCAAACTGCAACTCCTTTGGAGAAGACGGCTGCTTTGGGGGGTGGACTCTGTAGCATTCAACCCACACTGAGGTCCCTCCCCTCTACAAACCCCACCCTTCCCAGGCTCCGCCCACCCCAAAATATCCAGGAATTTACCAACCTGGAGTTGGCAACCCTGCTGCCCAGTGAGATTGCCAACAGAGTCAGGATTTGAAGCCGGGATTCCTGAAATCCTAGTCTTGAGAGTCTTTAACCACTACACCACATTGGTTCTCCTGAAACTGAGTGAGAGCCTGGGACGCAGATCAAACACAGCATCCAACGGTCTTATTGTATTTTATTATATAACGCGTGGAATTCACGGCCACAGGAGGTGCAGTGGCTACAAGCATAGATGGCTTCAAGAGGGAATTAGATAAACATAAGGAGCAGAGGTTCACCAGCGGCTATTAGCCACAAGGTATAGACAGGAACTCTCGGTCTGGGGCAGGTCATCCACTGTATTCTTGGTGCTTGGGGGGGGGGGCAACAGTGGGAGGGCTTCTAGTGTCCTGGCCCCACTGCTGGACCTCCTGATGGCACCTGGTATTTTTTTGGCCACTGTGTGACACAGAGTGTTGGACTGGATGGGCCTTTGGCCCGATCCAACATTGGCTTCTCTTATGTTCTTATAAGAGGGAATTAGATAAACATAAGGAGCAGAGGTTTTTACATATTTATTGCTTTACAGCTGTTGACCTTATAACCTTGTTGTTTAGTTTTTCGCTTTGCATAACTTAAACATCTTCATGTTAGATGATGATGATGATGAAGAAGAAGAAGAAGGAGAAGAAGAAGAGGAGGAGGAGATTGGATTTATACCCCACCCTTCACTACCCAAAGGAGTCTCAGAGCAGCTTACAATCTCCTTTCCCTTCCCCTCCCCACAACAGACACCCTGTGAGGGAGGTGGGGCTGAGACAGCTCTGACAGAAACGGCTCTTTTTCAAGAACACCTCTGACAGAACTGTGGCTTGCCCAAGGTCATCCAGCAGCCGCAAGTGGAGGAGTGGGGAATCAAACCCAGTTCTCCCAGATTAGAGTCCGTGCACTTAACCACTACGCCAAACTGGCTCTCACACCAAACTGTTACATGCTAATTTCCTGTTAATTCCCTGTGTATAAGTTTAGAGCCTCATCTACCATTCTAATGTATTTGAAAAAGCTCGCCTTGCACATGAACTCATGACCTTGAATAAACCTTTGCTGGTCTTAAAGGTGTTCTACCGTAGACCACTTGTAACTCCAGATCTCCAGGCCCCACCTGGGGACTGGCAACCCTATCCTGCCTCCGCACAAATTTGTTTTAACGTTCCAGTGCGTTTCCCTCTGCGTTCCACACACACTTCAGCTTCCCAGCTGTGCTGCAGCTGGCAGCTGCCAGGTGGGGCCTGGGGAGCTAACACTTTTACAACCGATCTCTAGATTACAGAGCTCAGGTCCCCAGGAGAAAATGGCTGCTGAGGTCCCTCCTTTCCCCAAACCCCGCCCTCTCCTGGCCCCGCCCCCCAAATCCCCAAGTACTTCCCAACCCAGAACTGGCAACCACAGACAACCAGCGGGCGTAATCTTCGTGGGGGGGGCGGGGCTTCAGCTCCCGCCGAAATTTTCAGGAAGGTATCATCCTCCCCCGTGAGCCCCCCTTGCTCCTAGCAAAGCAATGCCTCTGGCCCAGCCCCAGCCCCCCCCCCCGGGAAATTGGAAAGTCTACACCCTTCTATGTGCCCGGCCAAAATCAACTGCACCAATCTTTGGCATTCCTTGCCTGACGCTTCCCACTTCTCGGCGCAGAAAATATTTGTGAACATTCCTTAACAGCGCGCTGGGATCCTGCAGAGAGCTTTGGATTTGCTTTGCCGAGATGTCAAACATCCCTCGCATTCGGGCCGAAGCGCAAACCGAATCTGGAGCGCCCACTTTTCCGTCGCGAGTGTCCACACAAACCTGGAAGTGGTCACTGTTGACGATGAAAATGAGCTCGAAGTGCTGGCCCAGTTTCAGGGGCATCCCGTGGCGCTCCTCCTTTCCCCATTTGCCCCCCTGGCAGGTATTCAAGACGATGGTGTCGTGGCCTTTAAAGCGAGGGTTGAAGTGCAGGGCGATGTCGCTCCCATACATAAAGTTCACCCGGAAGCTGGAAGCAGAGAATCCCCCCCAAAAAACAGAGCATCAAAACATCTGTGGCGTATGGTATGCTGATGCAATTGAAAATACAGGATGAAATAGTTACAGACTGTACGATTAAATGGATGCAAATAGTAGGTTATAAGCGGTGTTCCCTCTAAGCTGGGTTAGTGTGAGCCAGCTCACAGTTTTTTAGCCTCCGGCTCACACATTTTCATCTTCGCTCAGGAAGGAGGGCTCCAGAGCAAACTAATTTATGCAGTAGCCAAATTGCTCGCTCACAACTTTAATGACAGTCGCTCGCAAAGTAGAATTCTTGGTCACAACAGCTTAGAGGGAGCATTGATCCTGGGACAGCGAATTCCGCAGGTTAATTACTCTGAAGAAGGACTTCTTTTTTTACCAAACCTGAAATCTGTCACTTGTCAAGATCACAGTGTATCCCCAAGCTCTAATATTATGGGCACGGTCAGGGATCATTTTGTAGAAAAAGAAGTGCAGGAGCTCATTAGCATAACTCATTAGTGTGACATTTGCATATGCCACACCCCCTGACATCACTGGAAGTGTGTCAGAAGGCAACACCCACCGCTCAGGCTCCACTGGACTGTTTTGGATTGCTAGCTACTGGGGGAGGGGGACGTGCAGATCTGTCCTCACAGAGGAGGGAGAGCTTGTACCTGAATAAAACTTGGCCTTAAAGGTGCCACTGGACTGTTTTGGATTGCTAGCTGGTATTGGAGAGGTGGGGGGGGGGGATGCGCAGATCTGTGCAGGAAGGAAGGGAGGAAGGGAGGAAGGAAGGAGGGAGGGAGGGAAAAAAGAGAAATCAAGAAGGAAGGAAAGAAAGAGGGAGAGAAGGAAATGAGGAAAAGGGAAAGAAGGAGAGAAGGAAAGTAGGAGGGCTGCTTCTTGCTCCTCGTGGCCTGGGGCTGCTGGGAGCAGGGGGCGGGGCTTGTTGCATGTGCCCGCCCCCTGCGCTTTTTACTGCTGGAGCTCCGCTCCTGTGCGCTCCTGCAGGAAATTACCCCTGGGCACGGTAAAGAGTTTGTCTTCTCTAACCTCTGCATAACTTTAGAAATCGTGTCTCTAAACTAAAAGAAAATCCCCAAATACCTTAATCTTTCTTCATAGTAGAAAAGAGCAACAATCCAGGAGCACCTTAGGTAAAGGTAAAGGTTTCCCTTGCTCGAAAGCCAGTCTAATCCGACTCTAGGGATGCGGTGCTCATCTCTGTTTCCAAGCTGAAGAGCCAGCGCTGTCCAAAGACGTTTCCGTGTTCACGTGGCCGGCACGACTAGACGCCGAGGGGCACGGGACGCTGTTACCTTCCCACCGAAGTGGTACCTACTTGCAGTTTCTTGCTTTCGAACTGCTAGGTTGGCAGAACCTGGGGCCGGAGACGGGAGCTCACTCCGTCACGCAGCAGTCGGGTCTCGAGCTGCCGAGCTACCGACCTTCCGGTCTGCAGTTCAGCGTCTTAACCACTTGAGCCACCTTACAGACTAACAAAATACGTGGCAGGGTGGGAGCTTTCGGGAGTCACTGCTCACTTCTTCGGATACTCTTCTTCAGTGACTCGCGAAACTTCATCCCCTGCCACAAATTTTGTTAAAGGTGCTCCTGGACTCTTGCTCTTTTCTCCTGCTGCAGGCAGACCAACACGGGTACCCCCATCTAGGTTTACCTGTTGGTTGAGCTGGGTATCATCCCTTGAACGTAGACGGACATCCCAGGATGCAGTCCATACGGCACGGGCTTGCTGCATGGGAGCGGCTGCAAGGAGGGAAAAGCCACATCAGGCATCTTGAGGCAGACGAACCCCGCACAGAGGGAGTTCCCCCGCTGTGTCTCTGTATGCGGGGTTGGGCAGAGTGGGGACTCTGGAGAGGGTGTCTCCATCATCGGGCTGGGTCGATGCATGCTGAGATGTCTTCAATTGAGTCAGGCCCTCGATTCCCGCCCCCCGCCCCCGGCTCAGTACCAGGCTGTGGGCAGGATGGGGCCAAGGGAGATCTTTTCTCTCCCCACCACCCCAATATTTTTTTGTTTGTGGGTAAATCTCTGGTTTTAAAGAAATCCCCCTTTGGCGACTATGATATATAAAGCGGTGGGGCGGGGAGGAGAAGCGTGAATCTGGGAGATGTCTGAGAACGGGACTCCCCTATCGATAAACTCCTGAGCAGGCCAGGGAGACAGAGAAGAAAAAGACGGGGGCTTTCACATCTGCTAAATTATGCAGTTCCAATCCATTTCAGCGACCGTTTGCAAGTGGATCTTGCACAGTAAGATCCAGTTGCAAACCGCATCGAAAGTGGATTGAACATGCATTATTTATAGGCGGAATCTGTATCCGTCTTTCCCACCAGTGTCCCAGCCTTTTGACTCCGTCTTCAAAAAAGCTGTCTACATTTGGTGTCGTTTTCACACCTCAACGGTGCTAGCATACTTTTGCACGTCCACATATGTTTATCGTCCTTTCGCGGCGGCTCCACTGTCATTGCACCTCCGCACTGCTTTAAAAGAATCTTCTCCAAACAACATTCAAACGAGCCTAGAGAAAGACGGCGTCACAGCAGCACGAAAATGATTTTAAAATGCAAATGCGGATTCGGCCTAGGTCGAATCTGCATTTGGATTTTTTAATCAGTTTCGTGCTGCCGTGACGCCGTTTTTCCTCTATGCTTGTTGGAATGTTGTTTGGAGAAGATTCTTTTAAAGCAGTGCAGAGGTGCAATGACAGTGGAGCCCCCACGAAAGGGCAATAAACATATGCAGACGTGCAAAAGTATGCTAGCACTGTTGAGGTGTGAAAAAGACACCAAACGTAGACAGCTTTTTAAAAGACGGTGTCAGAAGGCTGGGACACTGGTGGGAAAGACAAATGCAGATTCGACCTTAGTATGTGTGTGTGAAAGCGTGTTCTTGAGCATGGACAGAGTATCCCCCGTGTCTGGCAGCAGGGGGCGCAACTCCCCTGGTATTGGCCCTCCTCGATTAGAAAGAACCTAAAGAGAGCTTGGGGGAAGCTCTCTATTTACCCATTTCTGCTTTCCCGCCCCTAATTCAGGGCAAATTCCATCTCCCACCCACGCAGGCACACACACCTGGTGAACCTTCCCGGTTCCTAGGTGAGCTTTCTGGGTCGAATGTGACTCTCCAGGGGTAATAAACTTCTGGTTAATTATTGACCTAATTCTGCCCAGGAACTGAGTGCTGGGTGTGGCAGGGTCAGGCGACTGGTTTGCCAGCGTCCCTCCAAGTTCTCCTTTCACCCCACCCAGTCAAATAGGGCCCAGCACAGTTTAGCCGGTCACCCTTTATCTGATCTTTCCATGCACAGGAATAAAAAGAAAACCGCGGAAGAGGAAATTAGACCTCAGGGCAAAACCCACTGGACCAGGCTGGCAAGATCCAGTACATTCCCTGGCCAGCGTTCATCGAAACTGCTGCGGTTCAGAATGAGCACAGCATTGCTCTTGAGTAGACCAGGGTTTTTTGGCCAACATGACCTGTGCAAATGTTGCTTTGTAATGAGGCATGGCCACCGCCGTAGAAAAGTAGCATGCACGCACAACACTGTGGGCAGTGTTCCCTCAAAGCTGAGTTAGCGTGAGCCAGCTCACAGTTTCTTAGCCTCCGGCTCACACATTTATGCCTCCGCTCGTGAAGGAGGGCTCCAGAGCAAACTGATTAATGCAGCGGCCAAATCGCTCCCTCGCAACTTTAGCACCGGTAGCTCAGAAAGTAGAATTTTTGCTCACAAGACTCCACAGCTTAGAGGGAGTGTGACTGGTCTGATTTCCCGAGAAGAGATTTCTTCACCTTGCTTAGGAAGGCGGCAATTCGACAGGTGCACAGCCCCTTGTGCAGAGGCACCCATTCCCCCCCCCCAAAAAAAAGCAAGAGGAAATCTCACTGCCATTATAACATGCACCGGAAATTCTAGTCATGGGCTTCCAGATTTCCTAGCTTCCAAGATCTAACAAGAGTGGGCTATACCACGCCACCTTCCTTCCGAGGAGCTTCCTGCCCAAAGGTGGCAAAGGATTCTGGGGCACATTCTGTGCACACAGGAGGAGGGGGTTAGAGAGCTGCTGGATAAGCCCACCCCCAATACACTGCAGTTACATGAACTGGTTAGGCTGACCCTGTGCCGTCAAACCGCCCATGGTGGGTCACCTGAGGGACACGTCCCCTCATTCTCTTACGACAGGTGGACAGGTTACGGAGAGAATGTGGAGGCTCGTGGGAGACAGAGGGGTCCCCAAAGAAGGAGGGTGGTCCCGACTTGAAGAAGAAGAAGAAGAAGAAGAAGAAGAAGAAGAAGAAGAAGAAGAAGAAGAAGAAGAAGAAGAAGAAGAAGAAGAAGAAGAAGAAGAAGAAGAAGAAGAGGAGGAGGAGGAGGAGGAGGAGGAGGAGATTGGATTTATACCCCGCCCTTCGCTACCCGAAGGAGTCTCAGAGCGGCTTACAATCTCCTTTCCCTTCCCCTCCCCACAACAGACACCCTGTGAGGCAGGTGGGCCTGAGAGAGCTCCAAAAGAACTGCACTTGAAAGAACAGCGCTGAGAGAGCTGTGATTGACCCAAGGAGGAGTGGGGAATCAAACCCAGTTCTCCCAGATTAGAGTCCGCACACTCAACCACTACACCAAACTGGCGGTCCCTACAGAGGGTCTCTGCAGAGGAGGATGGAGACCTACACAGCCACAGGGAACACCCTAAGAGTCGCACATTTCCAGGAGGCCTGGATGGAACCAGAAGGCTGCCGAGACTTTTCCAGCGTTTGTGACGAAGAAGAACCCCAGTTTGGAAACTGCCAGTGTAAAGTTTTAAGGGCCAATCTTTGGAGGGCGCGCATACCACAAACAGTGTTCTTCTTGTGACTTGGCAAAGGAGGAAGGAAGGAAGGAAGGAAGAAAGGGAAGAGGAGGAGGAGGAGGCGGTGGCGGCAACCGGGATGGTGAGAGGGTTTGAATCCAAGTCTTACAAGGAAAGGCTGAAAGAGTTGGGTCTGTTTAGCCTGGAAAAAAGAAGGCTTAGAGGGGACATGATTGCAGCCTTCAAGTATCTGAAGGGCTGTCATGTAGAAGATGGAGCGGATCTATTCTCTCTCGCTCCAGATTGCAAGACTAGATCTAACGGGTGGGAATTACAAGAGAGCTAAATATCAGGAGAAACTTCCTAACTGTGAGAGTGGTTGAGCAGTGGAACAGACTGCCTCGGGAGGTGGTGGATGCTTCTTCGCTGGACGTTTTCAAGCGGAGGCTGGACGACCATCTTTTGGGTATGTTGTCGGGCTATCTTAGTTTCGGCTATGCTCCTGCAGAGTGCAGGGAGTTGGACTAGATGACCTGCAAGATCCCTTCCAACTCTAAAATTCTATGATCCGAGGAGGAGATGGAGGAGGAGGAGAAGAAGAAGAAGTTGAAGAAGAGGAGGAGGAGGAGGAGGAGACTGGATTTATACCCCACCCTTCCTTGGAGTCTCAGAGCGGCTTACAATCTTCTTTCCCTTCCTCTTCCCATAACAGACACCCTGTGAGGTAGGTGGGGCTGAGAGAGCTCTCTTGAGGACTGTTCGTGAGGGAACCACTCTGAGAGAGCTTGTGACTGACCCAAGGTCACTCCAGCAGCTGCACGTGGAGGAGTGGGGAATCAAACCCATTCCTCCCAGATTAGAGTCTGCGCTCCTGACCACTACCCTAAACTGGCCATTGGCCAGAGGGAAAGAAAAAAACAGGACAATTAGAGCACCATCTCCTCATCTTCTGGATTTGATTTTGGGCAAAAAGATTGGCCCCGCCACCACCAAAATCAATGGTTAGAGGAATCGGCTGGATATTTAATCAACTTTTAAAGCCAGCCTTCACTGGCGGTTTGGTCCACGTTTCTTAGGAGGGGTGTTGAAATGAAGCGTGCCACACACACCCCTCAACAGGAGCACATTGTAACCGAACGCTTGGATGTACAAGACGATGCAAGCTTTAGAATGACGCAGAACTTTTGGATCCAGCAAAGTAACCAGATATTTGCTAGAGAGCGAGGCCATGTCTCAGTACAAATTATATAGGGATGCCAGCCTCCAGGTGGAGTAAACGTGGAAAACCACCGTGCAACAACAAAAACAAAGCACACAATTCTGATATACAGTAAAGACCCTGATTATTATAGGGCACCAATATGCAGACCAGGTTCAATGTTGTGGCTGTCTTGCTTTCAAAAACGGACAGCCGCAACATCGAACCTTGTCTGCATATTCGTCTCTGTAACTTGGGACATTTCTTCAAGACTGAATATTGTTATATTTATCTGTATATTGTGGTTAGTGCACTATAGTCCACCATTGTGGTTAGTGCACTATAATCAATCAGGTTACACTAGGATCTTTACTGTGTATCATAAGCAATGCTCCCTCTAAGCTGCTGAGTCTTGTGAGCAAAAATTCTACTTGGAGAGCTACTGGCATTAAAGTTGTGAGCGAGCAATTTGGCCGCTGCGTAAATCAGTTTGCTCCGGAGCCCTCCTTCCTGAGCTGAGACAAAAATGTGTGAGCTGGAAGCTAAAACACTGTGAGCTAGCTCACACTAGCTCAGCTTAGAGGGAACACTGATCATAAGTATATGACTTAGTTAATTAACGAAGTTATAGTCGTGTATCAGAATTGTGTGCTTTGTTTTTGTTGTTACGCGGTGATTCTCCACGTTTCACTCACCCTTGCCGTGTTTCCTGGGTGTTTGTTGCCAAGTCTCCAGGTGGGACCTGGGGATCCCTCGGAATTACAGCTCATTTCCAGACTACAGAGATCAGTTCCCCTGGAGAAAGTGGCTGCTTTGGAGGGGGGGGGCTCTGTGGCATCGTGCCCCCCGGGAGGTCCCTGTCCTCCCCAGGCTCCATCCCCAAATCTCCAGGAGTTCCCCGACCCAGATCTGGCAACCCGACCCTCCCATCCCCTGCCGGTGGCTCGGAGAGACCTATTTGGGAACCTGTCGGGGAAAGCGCAAAGACGTTTTAAGGCTTCCAGACTTTTTTGCTCTGCCGCTTAACACACCTGTCGCTTCCATCGCTCCAAGACAGGGGATACGGACTGAGGACTCGAGCAGGCTGAGTTTAGCGGCACGAAATCCGAGGGCCCCGGGAGAAAAGGGGAAAGGGAGAGACAGGGATACTCACGGGGTTGTAGGTTGGCATGTAGCCAGGTGCCGGGACGTAAGTCATGATGCCGAGGTCTCACTTGCAGGACACAGAGGGGGCAAAGCCGGAGAGAGAAAAAGAGAGGCCGGGCGGCAGACGGTTTTTTATAGGTGCCTCTTCAGGGGGTGGGGCAGTTGGCATGAGCCCCCCCAGCAGGTAGAAAGCTCACATTGCACTCAGCTGCGTGTATCCCCACCTTCGCCTCTCTCCTGCAGGAGCAGCGGGAAAGTTCCTGTTTCCTGGAAAGTTTGGAGATATCGACCCCAATTTCATTTTTCTACTGCCTGGTGGTTAGGGCGAGGAGGAGGGGGAAGCCGGCAAAGGCCACAGAGAGGCTTGCTGGGTCTCCCAGGCTCTCCCAAAGCATTTGTTTCTTCCAGGGCAACTGATCTCTGTAGTCTGGAGATGAGGTGTAATTCTGAAGGATCCCCAGGTCCCACCTGGAGGCTGGCATCCCTGTCCTTTGCCCTGCTAACAACCAACCCCACGCAACATCCACAACTGAAAACAATGGCCTTTTCTTTCGAAGATGACAAAACAGCTCTGAGAGAACTCGTGACTGACCCAAGGTCCTCCTGGCGTTTATTTATTTGGATGGCAGCTTGCCCCATCCTCGGGGCAGAGGATAATATCAATGTTTCTATCCATTCACCTCTTTCTTCTCACAAGCCTTTCTGTGGTGCTCGACTCCCTCTGAGGTGCCCCGTGCTCAAGTTTTTCTTTTTTTAAAATAAACGAATTTTTTATTATTTTCTCTTAAAAGGGCGGGATACTGAAGGAAAAAAGGGGCAAGGGAAAAATATGGATTCATCCTATTTGTGAAGTATTATGAACTGTTATGGACAACAAGTAGAAGGAGATGTATTACCAAAATGTATCACATATTTCAAATATAAGAGCGAACCATAAAACTCAAATATTACAGAATGACAAAATTTGGGATCGGTTCGCTCTTTACGGATTAGACGAGAACTTTCCAAAGGTTAACGATAATCTATCGATGACAGGGGAAACGACATCTTTAACCACCGAACAGACTTCTATACTAAAATCAAATCATTGTAAAAACCTTGATGTTGCTTTAATTGTTTATCTCAATCTAAACTTTATTCTTTCTAATTATTTAATTACTAGAGGAGTACAGAATAACACATTGAGACTATAATGAGCTTCCGTTGTGAGATCAAGGGCCCTGCGGGATTTACTAGAATTCCGCAGGGCCTGCAAGACGGAGCTCTTCCGCCGGGCCTTTGGTGGGGCAGCGGCCGTCCCCCTCCTTGGGTTGCCTCCATCAGTAGCCTGGGTCCTTTGAGATCCTAAATTTTAAAGATCCCTAAAACATCATTAGGAGCTACGGTGGCTCAAGTGGATAAGATGCTGAACTGCAGGCTGTGGAAGGTCGGTTGTTCAGCAGTTCGAGACCCGGGTGTGCCGCATGACGGAGTCTCTAGTTCCAGCTCCTGCCAACCTAGCAGTTCGAAAGTGAGAAATTGCAAGTAGATAAATAGGTACCACTTCGGTGGGAAGGGAACAGCGTTCCGTGCGCCTTGGTGTTTAGTCATGCCAGCCACATGACCACGGAAACGTCTTCAGACAGCGCTGGCTCTTCGGCTTTGAAACGGAGATGAGCACCGCAACCCTAGAGTCAGATTCGACTGGCTTTCGAGCAAGGGAAATCTTTACCTTTACCTTTAAAACATCATTACCCACTGAGGCATCTGGTTTTTACTAGAATTGTATTATGCAACGTCATATTGTATTTTAAAATGCAAATTGTGTTTTGAATTGTTTTAACTGTATTGCATTTTATTGTTGGAAGCCGCCCTGAGCCCATCAAGGGGAGGGCGGGATACAAATCCAATCAATAAACAAATACATAATCAATATCTTCATCGCCTTTAACCGTGCTCGAGTTTTTCGAGACCGACCACCCTGCCCTGTTCTCGCCGCCGACCCTGTAGAGCGGTCCACACCTGGTGCTGGCGAGAACACCCAGCAGGACGTGCATACAATAAAACCCCGAAACTCCCCGGACACCAGCAGGGGTAATAGAGGGGGCGTGGGTGTTTGCAGAGCGTGGGCCGAGCCCAATTCAAATATTCAGCAAACAACCCGGATGGGTCTCCCTCGACGGGAGGGGCTCCCGCAGAGACCGGGGCGAAGGCCGTTATGCCGACCGAAGAGCGAAAGGACGCTCGGAGGAGCGGCCCAATGTCATAAAGGAAGCCAGGTGGACTCTGGACTGGGCTGGTCATGAACTGGCAAAGCGGCAGCAGGGAGACGGAGCAGGGGGGGGTTACCGCGGTTACAGAGGGGCGACACCCCAGAGGTTTGGCGCCAGCTCTGGGCAGGGCCGCAGACACCCAAAGAGCTTGGGCAGAAGTATTTTGCTTCTGGCGATGTTCCCACTGGCTTTGCGAGAAGGAAGGGGTGTCGGGGGCCCTGGCACTGTCCGTTCCCCTGCCGGAGCCCAATGGGCTTGGCTTTCTCTGCCAACTGGACGGGGCCAGAGGTCAGCTGGTGGGGTGGAAAGTGGCAGTTCTGGAGGCCTCACTTCAAAAAGGAGGTGGGCAAAATCGAGAGGGCGCAGAAGAGAGCGACAGGGATGATCAGGGGTTTGGAGACTGAGCCCTACGAGGAAAGGCTGAGGGCCTTGGGAAGGTTTAGTTTGGAGGAGACTGAGGGGGGACATGATGGCTCTCTTTAAATATTTGAAAGGATGACATTTGGAGGAGGGCCAGGAGCTGTTCTAGTTGGCAGCAGAGGGCAGGACCCGAAGCAACGGGTTTAAATTGCACGCAGGAAGGTGTCGGCTGGATATCAGGAAACACTTTTTCACAGTCAGAGTGGTTCGCAGATGGAATCAGCTGCCTGGGGAGGTGGGGAGCTCCCCTTCGCCGGCAACTTTCAAGAAGAGGCTGGACGAATATTTGTCAGAGATGCTCTAGGCTGGTCCTGCATTGGGCAGGGGGCTGGACTAGATGGTCTCTGTATGTCCCCCTTCTGACTCTATGGTTCCATGAGAGGCCTAGAACACACATCAGCATACAAAGCTGCCTTACAGGTCTAGATAGGTTGGGATGCCCCGCTCTGACCGGCAGCCGCTCTCCAGGGTCTCAGGCAGGGAAAGGCCTTTCCCCGCACCCTTCCGGGGTGATTGAACCTGGGACTCCACGTGTGCACAGTGGGAACTCTAATCCAGAGCCACCGCCTCTCCCAATGCCAGGAGAGATAAAAGGAAATTACAGATATCCTGTTCTTTGCTACTCAGGAAGCGGCACATCTTTAGGAAAAGGGGCGCGCCACAATTCCAGAAACAGTGGACTGGGAAAGCGCTTTTCGCCACCAAGGCTGACATTTCGCTCAACCCGCAATAACTGGGGTTGCCAGCCTGCAGGTGTTTCTAGTAACAAACAAATATACGCTGCAAAAACCTTATAGCAAACCAATGTGTTCTATTTATGGTAATCATTTAGTAAAGTGCCTAGTGTCTCATTATTTCGTCCTAAAAGGTAAAGGTAAAGGTTCCCTTGCTCGAAAGCCAGTCGAATCCGACTCTAGGGTTGCGGTGCTCATCTCCGTTTCAAAGGCGAAGAGACCGCTCTGTCCGAAGACGTTTCCGTGGTCATGTGGCCAGCATGACTAAACACCAAGGCACACGGAACTCTGTTCCCTTCCCACCGAAGTGGTACCTATTTATCTACTTGCAATTTCTTGCTTTCGAACTGCTAGGTTGGCAGGAGCTGGAACTAGAGACGGGAGCTCACTCCATCATGCGGCACTCGGGTCTCGAACTGCTGAACTACCGACCTTCCACAGCCTGCAGTTCAGCGTCTTAACCACTTGAGCCACCGCAGCTCCTATTTCATCCTAGTCAGGTATAAATATTCATTACATTCAATAAGCAATAACATTCAGTACATACAAATTGCTAACTACCAGACAATTTTGCATCAGTGTTTTAAAAGTCAAGCCCCAGTGGGAGTTTCTAGAATTGTAAACCCACTTCTCCTTGCATGAAGTCTTCCAGAAAGGGGAACACCTTTCTTAATAGTTGTATGGGTGCGTTTTGCCGGTCCTACAAAAGACACATTGTGCAGCTAACATTCATGGACGGAGTACTCCTGTCATTCTCAAAGCTGCTGGTCTCGAGGTGTTGGCTGGAGATCTGCTATTCCAACTGACCTCCAGGTGACGAAAATCAGGTCCCCTGCTCTAAGCTGAATTAGTGTGAGCTAGCTCACTTTTTTTTTTTTTCGCCTCCAGCTCACACATTTTTGTCTTAGCTCAGGAAGGATGTGGCTCCAGAGCAAACTGATTTATGCAGTAGCCGACTCGCTCACTCAGCACTTTAATGCCAGTACCTCACAAAGTAGAATTTTTGTTCACAAGACTCCACAGCTTAGAGGGAACATTGTAGGTGGACTCTATGGCATTGTACCTCACTGGCGTCCCTCCCCTCCCCAAACCCTGCCCCAAATCTCCAGGTATTTCCCAACCCAGAGCTGGCAACCCCAACAATAAACCTGACAAGGTGTAGGGTAAACGCAACTATCTTGATTTTGCCAGTTTGAACGGAGTTCTGGCTGGCTCCCGAGTTGCCCACGCCCAGCAGGAGCTCATTAGCATAATAGGCCACACCCGACAGCAGAAACTCATTAGGATTGGCTACATTAGGGGTGTGTGGCCTAACATGCAAAGGAGTTCCTGCTACAAAAAAAGGCCCTGGGTTTTGACAACAAACAAGGTAAACAGAATAAGAAGCAAAAGGTGGGTGTGGCTGGATGAGCACACTTCTGGTAACATGGGGGTGTGGCCTATTATGCTAATGAGGGTGTGGCCTAATATGCTAATAGATTTTGCTGTTGGGTGTGGCCCATTATGCTAATGAGTTCCTGCTGGGCTTTTTCTACAAAAAGAGCCCTGGAAATAGTCATACGCCCCTCTGACTCCCGTGCTTTGTGACTGCTCAGTTACTGAAGATGGTCACACAACGGTGACACTTCAGAACTAGGGAGAAACTG